TTATCAAGGAAATAAATTATTTATAATATCGTTTTTCAAAATAATTAATCATTAGTCTGCAAAGGTTTCTCTTGTTCAGGTTAATTTTCAGGAGTTTCAGCCTAAATATGATAATCAGAATCTTCTTTTGGTGAATCAGGTTTTGCAAGCATATAAACACAAATCACTTAACCCATCAAACAGAGAAATATTAATAAACCCCAAATCCAATAAGAGGAATCCATTGTTATTTTAGTGTTTATTCTAAATTCATCACTGTTAAAAGAAAATGATCTTGCATTAATTAATTCTTGATATAAATAAATTCTAAAAACTTAATTATTTTATAATTTATTGTTTAAAAACAAACATCATCTTTCAAAAAAGGTCACAATCACAAACATAATTTATGAAAAAATCTAATACATTATTTCATTTTTAAGATCAAATAAAAATATTGTTACTTGTTTTCTTTCATTTTTTTTTGAATTTATTATTAATTTAACAATATGAATAATAAATGTGAGTTAATGATTTAAGAGAGTGGACTAGAAATAGAAAGAAGTCTAGATCATTCTATTATAAGAAGTCCATAGGCTGAACAATTAATGAGTTCATCAAATAAACAAACTTTATTAAAATTTGATAGTTCATTTGCATAAGAATCATTCCAAAAAAGAAAAGATTCATTAGCGTCATAAAATCTATCAGATAAAAATTAAATGATAACAACGATAGTGAAATAAAAATAATTTTCTAAATTGCTAATTTATTGCCATTCGATGAAATTTGCAAATAGGTTAATCTCATTAATAAAACCTTGCTCTAAATTTTCTATTGAATAATTTGAAATGATTAATGATAAAGCATCATTTTTCAATAGTAATTTATAAACTAAAAAATAAACTACCAAGCATTTTGTTTAATAAAACTTAGGAGCTATTGATTTTTAATTTAGATGGCGTTTACATTTTAGAAAATTAAAAAAAAGATTACTTGAGTATCTTGCCTATTAATATTAATTAATTCCATTAATTGAACCAGAGAGTTAGAAACTATTTTTTTGGGAAATATTATTAAATATAATAAGAATTTATTTGATAATTTGGGTTCCAATAATCATTGTATTTTAAAATCAACAATTAGAATTTAACAATGGAATTATGATTCTAATATCTAGTATTTTAATATTTATCGATCTTTTTTTGCGTTGCATAACAATTGTATATGATAAAGGCTATCCTGTAGATAATAGATATATTTTAATTAAAAGATAACTAAAGCTAAGCAATTTATTAGAAGTTTGTAGTATATTTGTTGGAATTTTTTTATCAATTTAATTTAATGATCCTTTATTTAATAATTACTCAATTTTGGATGAAATAGGTTGGATAAAATTATTTTTGATGTTATTTTTAATTCAAATTAAGAATGTTATAAAATTTATGAATAACATTCAATATTATTACAAACCTAATAAAGAGATGTCCTCTGTTATAGATCTTATAAAATTAGTAGGATTAATTTTATTAATATAACATTTATGTTCTTGCATTTGGTATGATTCATATATTTATTAGGTTGATAATTGGAATGAATTAATTTTCATAATAAAATACTTGGATTAATAAAGTATTTTATGAAAGTTGGAAAGTATAATATTTAGAAGCCTTTTATTTTATGAGTGTCACAATGTTTACAGTAGGATATGGAGACATTAATCCCTAAAATTCATTAGAAAAAGTGTTTTGTATATGTTATATGTTTCTATCCACTTTATAATTATCTTATTCAGTTAATACAATAGGAACTATTTTAACTTTACTTAAAGAAAAAAATGAAATATTTAGATAGAAGATGACTTGTATAAATGAATTCTTAAAAGATAAAAATATTAGCTAATAATTACAATATAAGTAGATTTTTTAAATTTATTTTAGGATTCGAGAGTTTTGTACATTTTATTGGGAATAAGATATAATTTAAAAAAAGAATGAATAAGAATTAATAATCAAAGAATTACCTGATGAATTATAATATTAACTTAAATTAGAATAGGCAAGATAGCTTGTCAATAAGTGTGCATTTTTTAAATAAAACTTTGCCAAATAGACTATTTAATATATAATTTAAAGGGTTGAATTTACATCTTATTAACCAGGCACAATTATTCAAATTACACCTTCAAACAATGGAGTTTTTGTGATTGAAAGAGGAAATATTGAAGTGCTTTAAAATAAAGTATTTATTATATAATTTAAATAGACTAAAATATCTAATTTAAAAGATTTTGATTTATTTGGATTTTAAGAATATATTAATAATTAGTATAATCTTGATATTGTCTATCAAACAACTACTTATACTAGTATTTTATGTATTCCTTATTAAATTATGAATGATGCTATAAAAAAAAGTAAAAGAGATTTTGAAAAAATTTAGATTAAAAAGTAAATTTCTAAATTCAATTTTTGTTATATATGCAAAAGCACAAAACATTCAATTGAATAATGCAAATTAGTTCATTATGTTGTTGATAAAGAAAAATCAATTAAAACTTATTTACTGGTTGATAATTAAATGAGAACTAAAGTTAAGAGAACTAATAAATTTTAAAGATTTTAGACTTTAATTCAATAAGAAAATTTAGATACAACTTGTAAATTGATTTAATAGGAATTAGAAAAGGATATTGAATAAATATTCCCTGAATTAACTTATGAAACTTTAATAAAACCATTGAATTCAAGTTAAAAAATGTTCGAATCTCCAAAGGATCATGAAATTTTTCGACCTTAGAAATAAAACTATTTACTTGAAACTATTAAAACTAGTTAAGTTAAAACTTATGATAAATTTTGTAATAACCTTTCATTAACATTTCGTAATTAAGATATCTCACCTTTTATCAAAGAACCAGAAATATTAAAGGAACTATAATTAAAAATGATTAATATCCAAAAATACCCTTAAAAATAATAAAAAGAATTATTTATTTTATATAAAACACTTGAAAATTAAACTTAAGTAGATTTAGGAATTGGAAATTTTGAAATTGTCAAAAAATTTAGAAAATTTGATAGATTGTGGAATATAGGTAATGTTATTGAATAATTAAATTAAAAATATTAACATTCAGAACTTTATTTAGATATAATTAGAAAGTTAAGTAAATATCTACTATTTCCACTTGACTTTATTTTGCTTTTTAAAAAAGATCTGATTAAATAAAGAGCTGAAAGTTATTAAAATAAAAAAATCAAGGATTCTGATGATGAAAAGAGCGATAATAAATAAATTAGTATTAATTTTTGTTTATTAAAAAGGTCCATTTAGAAAATTTGAAAGAAGAAAAGCGTTAATTTATCCAAAATCTCTTACTTTTAAATGATTCAAAAATAATTTTAGAATTGTTGAATATTTTGAAAAGCCTTTTTATCATTTGCGTTTTCTTTCTAATGGTTGTTATATTTTATCTGTAATTTTAATAATTATATTAAAAAACATTTAAGTTCTAGAGTAATGTAGAAATAATCATTCGATTCTTGATTATAAGTATTATGAGAAACATAAATTTGTTATTAAATAATTTTTACAAATCCTATAAAGTATGAGCTCTTTGTATAAATAATTTAAATAAACATAAAAATAAAATGAGTAATGGATCAGTAAAGGATATATTAAAAGACAAGAAAAAAGTGAGATTTGTAGCTGAGAGTGCATTTAAGTAAGTGGATAAAGATGGTAATAAAATGAATATATATGGAATAATAGGAAGTGGATATCTTGAAAGACCAGAACTTGAAGAAGTAATGAATAATGTAGCAGCTGATTTAGGAGTAGAAGTATTATAAGATAAAATATGTAAAGCCACCTACAAGTGAAGAAATTGATGAAGTTTTAAAAGAATTAGATGAAAATGGAGATGGAAAATTATCAATAGATGAATTTTAAGTACTTATTGAGTAAGTTCTTGAAATGATGGCGAAAGTCGAAGGATGATATTAATAATATGCATTATTCTAATTATTTTATAACATATTGTAGTTCGAATAATAATATCAATAAATAATTTCTAAGGAACTTCGATTTATATTTAATTAATAAATCGAATTAACTTTAAATGTGTATGTTATGTTAAATTAATAAAAATTCTTTTATTTTCTAAGCCTTAATAATATCTTTTTCGACATTTAAATTCGAATCTCTTTTCTTAGATTTTGATAAATAAAAATAAGCGAACACATGTCTTATTATCCTGGATAAAATGCATATGGCAATCGTTTAAGATAATCCTTAACTTATCCTAATACATACAGTTAACCAATTTCTTATGCTCCAATTCAATATACTACCCCAGTCTAATATACTACCCCAATTACATAATCTGTTGTACAACCTGTAGTGCAATAATCCTACATAACTTAACCTGTTGCTGTCCAATAAATCATGGCCTAACCTGCTCAATAAACTATTAGAGGAGAATCTAGAGTGGAATATAAAGAATATTAAAAACCAGTTGTAGAAATGGAAACTGAGACTGTCTAAATTTAAGTTCCAAAAACAAAATATGTGACAGATTACTATCCAGTTGAATATTAAACAGAATATATACCAAGAACAGTTTATGAATAATAAACAGAGTACGTTCCAGTCACTAAAACAGTACCTAGAATAGAATATGAAGCAATTGAAAGAGAAGTTTAAAGAGTAAAAATTATATTTAATCTTTTAGCAATAATAAGTAATGATTTAGCAACCAGTTATTCAATAATACATAGCTTAACCAACGTAGCATGTTTAATAACCAGTTGTTTAAACTTTTGTTCAGAAACCTGTTATTTAATCTGTTGTTTAATAACCATTAACATATTCAGCAGTTAGATAATCATATAACTATGTTCCATCTCTGTAAACAGTTCCTAAGGTTTCATATCCACCAACAAATTGATGACGAACATATCAGTTTGAGTTCTATTAGAATAATATATATTATTAAATAATTTAACTTAAATTTAAATGTAAACTTGCTTTTTCGAAGAAATTATAATTATTTTATTTTCTCAAAATTTAAAGATTTATATTAATTATTAAAGTTAAATATAATATCATTATTTTTTTCCCATCATTTCCACTCTATTAGCCTGCTCTCTCAATCTATCTAATTCTCTTTACTCTTCCTTCTTTTATTCCATTCTCAAATCTACTTATCTTAATTTTTCTCTAATTTATTCTCTTTTATATTCTTCCAATTATTTCTAATGTTTGATAGCCTCTTATTAATCTAGTCTTTTTTTTAATTTCATATATGCTTATTATTATAATATAGTTTCCTATTCATTTTTTACTTTTTCAATCTATTATAAAATTTTATGTTACTTTTTCATCTTGTTCTTCTATTTTTTTTAAATAAATATTTCTTTTTTCTTCTAATTACAACATATTCATCTTCTTAACTTTTTCTCTGTGTTTCTCTTTCCTATCTACTTCTTCTTAAATTAATTAATCTCTAGTTTTTGATTAACTTCTTTATTATAATCGTAATTGAATATCCATTTCCTTTTCCATAAACTCTCTTCTTATTTCTTCTTGCTCGTATTCTTTTTATTTAGCAGCATATTTAATTTTTTCATTTTTTATTCTATTTTTCTCTTCAATTGATTATTATTTCTCTTATTATTGTTTCTAAAATTTGTATTAAATTTCAGCAATTTTTTCTTCTTTTTTTTGAAAATCTTCTCTTAATTTTTTTAAACCTTAAATTTAAGTTTTCTAAGCTTCTCTTTATCTTTCTTTAGCTGATTAAGCTCGTTTCTAAGCAACTTCTTTTTTTGATTCTTATTATTATTTAAAGAACATCTATCTTTTAAGTTCTTAATCTTCTTCATCTTATTTTTTTATTAAATACTCTAATTCTCTTTATCTATCTTTAATTTTTTTTTCTCTTTCTAATTATAATTTAAGTTCTCTTTATTCTTAATCTCTTTTAGCTGCTTCTTCCTTTCTTTTTTATTCTTCAAATTCTAATTAGATCTTTCTTTCTTATTCTCTTTCAAAATAAACTTGCTATAATTATTTATTTTTTTATTATTCTTCCAAGTCTTTTAATCTTTTTTATTTAGCAATATTTTCTTATTTTTCTTAAAACTCTCTTTATCTTTCATCTTGCATTCTTTTTCTTTTTTCTTCATATTATGCCATCTTCTCCTCTCTTATTTACGTTTATTCATCCCTTTTTAACATCATTTCTTATAAATGCTTTTATCTTATTTCCTCCATATATTTTCGCTTTTAAACTTAATCCATAAATTTGGAAGTAGTCGTACTACTTGTTGGTCTAAGCAATTTCAAACTACATGTACTTTATTCAATTTTGCTTCTTTTTTCTTTTTCAATTAAAGCTTCTCTATCTTTAATTAATGCATACACCTTTTATTGTCTACGATATTCAAAATGTTTATGGAAATCTTCTAAATTCTCATTTGTTAATGATTTCTCCTTCTTCATCATTAATTATAGTTAATCTTTATTTACACATAATAATTCATTCCATGCAATTCCTCTTTATCTCATTACTTATATTGAACGAGGACTATCTATAAAACAGTTCTTATCTGCTGGATTAAAATTGATTAAAGAAATCATTAATATTTATGTATTTATTTAACTAATAAATAAATTATATTTTAAATTATAACAAAAATAATAATGTCTGTAATACAAAAAATCTATTTTATAATAATATTTTTAATCAGATCATTTTGATTCTATTTATCTTAACATAGAATTAAGATATTTAAGTCCTCCAATCACATTATTATCCATTTCTGCGTTTGGATTTTCACAATCATCTGATAAATTCATAACATAATTAAAATCAATCCATCTAATTCGGTATTATTGGGATAAATTATCCACAATAATTAGAATAGAAGTATTTCGAAACATTCTAAATATAAATAATCATTTTATACCTCTTACAGGTTTGAAGTACTTCAATTAATTCTTAGATAAATTAAATACAACCTTTAAGTGCCTCCTTGTTAGGTTCTTCAATAAGATTTGATCTAAAAACTTATTCAATAATATCTCTCATTTATTTATCATTCTTTATCCATTTATAAGCTTCAGATCCATTCTTATTAACAGTTAATGCTCCTATCTAATCTCTTATTTTAATTCCAGCCACTCTAAATCCCATGTATTTTTAATCACATTAAATTGCCTTTTTAATTTCTTTCTCTCTTTTTAATGCAGAACCATTTGGATTATATGTTTTATAACCTATTTTTAAATCTATAATCGATCCATTTTCTAATCCATATGTTAAATTTTCCTATAATAATTAAATAATTATATAATACCATAGTAATAGAACAAGCATTTTCATCTAGAGAAATTAATTTAGGCATAAATCTAATAAGTCTTTAATTTTCTTCATAAAAAGGATTAGATTTATCATTCAAAGTTGAATAAAATTAAAATTCTCCTTTTTTAGTTGTTTTAATAATAATATCCTTTTTAATCTAGAATGATTGTAAATGTCCTCCTGAAATTAAATCAGCTACTTATCCTATATACTTTTTTTAATATTCTGTTAATTATTAAGATGAAAGACAAGTCCAAAATTCCTTATGTTTATCAACAGTAGTCGTTACAGCACTAATACCACATTTACAAGGTTGGATATCATTATTAAATTATTAGGGTACTCCCATTAATTATTTAAAAGTTGCTAAAGCACAAGCTGCCGTAACATCATAATTATATCCACCTTCTAAAACAGCCAATACTTTAGGACATATTTATTACAATTATTCAGTCATATATTAATAACCTTCAGGAGTATTTTCAATACATCCAAGAGGATCACCTTTTGCTGAATCATAACCAGCACTTATTATAATAAAATCTGGTCTAAATTCCTTTACAATAGGACCTAATAATCTATCAAATGCATAGACATAATCATCATAACCTGGAATATTTCCATCACTAGGCACATTCCAACCAACATTTACATTTTTAAATTCTGCATTTGCCCCTCCTATTTTCTCTGGATCTCCACTTCTAGGATAAAAATCACCATGATCAAATCTATGTATTGAAATTACCAAAGTATCTGGATCATCAAAAAATACTTATTCTGTTCCATCACAATGATGAACATCCCAATCAAATATTACTATTTTCTTCACATTATACTTTTATCTTGCATATTTTGCAGCAATGGCTACATTATTATATACACAGAATCCAGTTGGTTTAGGTTTATGTCCACTATGATGGCCAGGAGGTCTAACACTACAAAATGCATTCCTCCATTAATTTGTTAATATTTTATCTACTCCTTCTAAAACTGCTTGGACACATTTTCGAGCAGTTTAAGGAGATGTTTTGCATAAATAAGTATCACTTAAATACATTACTTATTTTGTATTCTTTTAATCTCCTATGTCGTCAAACAATCCCTCAACAAAATCTATATATTCTTAATCATAAACTAATCTTAAATATTCTATGTTGCTAAAGTTATATAGATTATAAATACCATTTTTTAAAATTTGATAATTATTCCACTTGCAATCTACCATCATATTAGGACAAATAATTTTAAATTGTTTTATCTATTGATTAAGTTCTTTTTGGATTTTCAGGATGGTCTTTATTTGAAAAGTGTTAATCAAAATCTTCACAATGAATAAAACCAGTTATATTTGTGTCTAACTTTAAATTTGCTAATTCTTCTTATATTTATTGCATTTATTATTTTAATTATTAATATAATTTTCATTTTTTAAATCGTATTCATAATTACTATTAAATCTTGTCATGTTGTGAATTTTAAGACCTTTTAGAAATTTAAATTAATCTTCATAATCATTATATACTTTCAGCAGAACCCTCATAATTAGATAATTAATAGAATAAAATTTATCTGAAATCATTTTAATTGATCATCAAAAAAGAAGTTTAAATTTTAAATGAAATCATAAACTAAATATAATATAATAAATTCTTTATATTTAAAATAATTAGATCATTCCCAATCCTCTAATAATTCTGATTATGCTTTTCTTCTTCTAGTTTTTTCAGCAGGAATAGCCTATGTAAAAATAGGATTAGCTGGATCTTTAATATTTGGATGATTAAAAATATCTCTAATTGTTGTCAAGACTTATGTTAATCCTTCATTTCCTTTCCAATTATTTGTTACCATTGGCATACAAAGTAATCCATCTTAAATAAATATAATTGGTACCTCCATAAATATTTTCATGAATTATTTTTTAATTATCTTTAAAAAACCAAAAATAGAATTTTGGAGCAGCTTTAGGATAATCATTAGGTAAAATTAAATAACCTTAATTATTAAGTATATGAAATACCTTGAATCTTTTTATCTTAATACTCAGTATTTTCTTCTCCCTTTAAAGCAACTTCCCAAACTTAACTTCTTAAATCATTTTTAATTAAAGCTCTTTCAATTTTAATATTTTCATCAATCCCTTCATCACTAAGAATTTATGAAGCCTAATCAAATAATTAATTAAAGTAATTAGCCTTTTCAACTTACTCTTTTGGCAGTTTGCTGATTATCTCTTATATAATTCTATCAGGTATCAAACCTTTATCTACTTCTTTTAATTAAAATGCAATCATCTATTACTATACAAAAATTAGGATATTTTAATAATTAAATATATTTAGTTTTCTATTATACAAATTCAGGATACTACTCTAATAAACTCTTTGCTTGACATCTATTCTAATCTATCTAATAACTTAGTTTCTATCTTCTTCTTTTCTTTTTCGGCTCTTTTAACTCGAAGGGCGTCAGATAACATTTCTTACCATTTAACTTATTATTTTTAATCTCTTTCTAATTCTTTGAGTTTTTCTCTTTTTCCAATTTTATTTCTAAAAATAATTATTCTAAATAAATACCTTCCTCTCATTTTTTTCTTCTATTTTCTAATTTTTTTGGTTGCTTATTCTTCAATTTATTTTTTTTATTCTTTTTCAATAATAACTTTAGAAGTTCTATCAATAGTTCCAATTCTATAAGATTGAAGTGATATACTTTCTGGAGGTAACTAGAAAATAAATAATATAAGTTTATTACTTTTTCAATCAATTATCTAACATTAGTCTCTAATCTTTATTTTTTATTTTATAACTCTGGTTATTCATATGTATCATAAAAAGGTTCTCCACTTTCAGGTACTACTGTTTATTCATAAGTATTAAATGTACTCATGGCTAAATAATCTTCATGTTTAATAAAATCAATATCACAAATCATAGAAGAAGCTTTATATCTTAAATAAGGTGTTTTTAAATCACCAATTAAACAATTTTTCCACATAATAATATCTGTTCCTCTTCCTGCTGCCAAAATACCTTTATCACTCAAAGCTAGATTAGTTGCATTTACTCCAATTTATGACTATAACTTTTAAGTTCTTAAATCCCAAACCTTGACAGTTCCTTCCGATCCACTTGTTATTAAATGATTGCCATCTCTAGAGAAAGTCATAGACATAACTCCTCCTTTATGACATAACATTGATGTAAGTGAAGTTCCAGTATTAGGAGCATACATTCTTACAACTCCCATTTAATCTCCTATTCCTAAAATTGCATTATTAGGATTTTATTTTAAACATAAACCTGAAGGTGTTGTTCTATATGCTATAATTATACAACATTTTACTTGATATTATCTTTCCTTATGTTATATCTTAATATGTCAATTATCCATTCTAATTTAGAGCAGCCAATAAAAAATGATATGGTAAATACTCTAACTTTGTTGCTTACTTGCACTCTCGAATCTTATGTACTTCAACCCCTTTTGGATCATATATAAAGATGCAACTTTTTTGAGCTACTGCAAAATTTCTTTAAGCTATTGAAATTATATCGTAACATTTCTCTTTAACATCAAATTCACATTCTAATTATTTATGTCTCCAATTAAATGCCGCTATATGACCTGATTCTCCTACCAAATATGTTGTTTGAGGAGTCACTGATAATTTATATGGCCCTTATCTTAGCTTTAAATTTATTATCTAATTTAATTATAATACTTTCTACATTTTAAACATTTTCCTCTGGTAAATAATCCTTAAAATTAGATATTTTTAATAATGGCCTTTCATCATCTATTTCTACACTCTATTAAAATTAAGGCTCAAGTAATTAAGCTATTTTTTAAGTCTTCAACTGAGTTGATTTACTTTTAAGTTCTTATTACTTAAGTTTTGCTGAAAGTATTTTATCCTTTGCCATTTCACAAATTAAAATATATAAAATTATTAAATAATACAATACTATTTTTTTTTTAATATAATTATTCTTCTAATTTATATAAATTCTTTTAATTCTTTAAATTTACGATAAAATTAAATAAAATCATTAAATATTTATCTATCTCATTATTAATATTTTAATGAAATTCATATATTTCATAATTCTAATAAAGGGGTTAAGATCTCTTATAATTATGGCTATTCATCAGCAAGTTTGTTTAATGCACTCTTAATATTATTAGTGAAATTTTTTTATTCATCAAGTTTCCTTATAATTATACATAATTTTACTATCTAATTTATTACTCTGGGAAAGGAAGTTTTGGATTATTTAATAATTCCTCATATTTTTTAGCTTAAGATTATAATTAACTTATTTTGAATACATTCAAAAGTTTTTCATTTTTAAAATAGCATAACCTTTATTTATTTTCATATGTCTCTTATTCCATTTATTATTATTTTTAAGTAGCTTCTTAAATTTATTATTGTAACTATTTATAAATTAAATAATTATACATTCTCAAGCTATTCTTCTTGTGCTCTAATTCCTTATTCTATTTTTTATCCATTCATAAGTGTTTAATTCAATGTATTTTTAAGTGTTTAAATTTATTTATTAACTTATGTTGTATTATTACTTGCTCCAACTGGAGGAAGCTTTAATTCTTTGGCTCCTGAAGAAGATTTATCCTTATTTAAATATTTTAATTATATTGTTTCTCTCTTAAAAACAGTTCTTTCCATTTCTTTTATAATTTATTCCTAACTCTTCTTTTATTCTTTTTATCTTAGTTCCATTTTATGTATTTCTTTTTACAACAGTTTTAATTCACTTTGACCAACATTTGGATCTAACGCTTCTTACATTTCTTTTTCTAATTAAATTTTTCTTTCCCATAATAAAATTTATTTTTCTGCTTCCATTATATCATTTAATAAATCTGCTTTGCTATCTTTTAATTTATCTATTTAGACTTCATATCTTACAGCTTCCTTTTCTAATTCTTTTAACTTCTCTAAAAATTCACTCTGAATATGATTATTTTCATTTGTTAATTTTTCTTATTTAAATTAATATCTTGCTAAATCATCATTTAATTTATTCATATCATTTTATAAATTTTTAAGACTGTTTTTAATTTCTCTAATTTCTCTTTCATGTGATTTATACTAAGAATTTAATCTCATTTTTTTATTTTCTAAAATAACTTGTTTATTTGATAATTCATCAACTTCAGTTGAACATGTTTCATATTCTTTTGTTTTTTCAACTAATTAAGTTTATTTTTTGATCCAATCTCTATGCATAGCTTCACATTATTAAATCATTTCATCAAACTATCTTTTTAAATTAGATTTAGTAGCCTCTAAAGGTCCTCTACTTACTTCCGAAGAATTATTTGTTAATTCATCATGAACTTTATTTAATCTTCCAACTTCATGTTATTTTTTTTCATTTAATTCATGACCTTATTTGATTTAAACTTCATAAGTAGCAACAGTGATTTTTTTATCATCTCTTTCTTTAATAACAGCAGCCTTCTTTAATTTTAATTATTCTATTTATTATTCTGTATTTAATTAATCAATTTTAACTCTTGCAATTTCATTATTAAGATTTTCTAATTCAATTTCTTTTTCTTCAATTTCTGATTAAATAATTTAAGCCTATTTAAGTAAATTTAAAGCAGTTTTTTCAATAGTTGTATTTTCACTTTTTGAATCCAATAAATCTTCTAATAAACTTTTAGTTTCAGTATGTAATTTCATAATATTAGTTTCAATTAATTTCATTTATTCATCCACATTTCTTTATTCATTATCAGTTTTTTTAGTTTCATTTTCTGTTTATTTAAGAGATTCATTCAATAAAAGCACTTAAGCATTTAATTTAGCTTATTCTTCAAGTAATTCTTATCTTTTATTTTCTAAATTCAATTTTTAATTTTCTAATTTTCTTTTCATAGCAATTAAATCTTCAGATCTAGCATTTTCTTTTCTAATTTCATTATTAATTCCTTAAAGTTCAGTTCCTAATTAAATATTAACTTCTGATTCTTTTCTAAAATAATAATCTTAAATTAAATATACTTATATGCTTCTCTAATTTCTTATAAAGCATTATCCATTCTTTACATTCTTACTAAACTCTTTTACCATCTTTCCATAAGATTCTTTTTAGATGCAATAATCTTTTCCATTTCTGCTTAAGCATCCTTCATTGTTTATCTAGCATTTTCTGTCTCCTTACTTTATGATATCAATTAATCCATCAATATAGTCTTCTATTCTGTTAATCTCTTAATTTCTTCATTCATTTAATCAATCAAGTAATCTTATTTTTTCTTATCTTTCTCTAATGCTTACACATTTTCTTCTCCTCTATATACTATTCTTCTAGTCTATTAAATTTCTGCTTGCATCTAATTATTATAATTCTCTATTGTATGCAAAGTTTTTGTAAGTTTCGATAATTCATCTTAAGCTTTTAAATATTTTTTTCGAAGCTCATCTACTTCTTTCTTTTTCTATAAATGCAAATCATTTATCGTCTTTAGTTTCTACTCACTCTCAATTCTTAATTTCTATACAAAATTAAAATTTTCATGAGCTTTTTCAAAATTTTATTAATTCTCTGCTAACTATTATTATACTCCATATAATCTAACACCTTAATATATATATTAATTATTTATCTTACCAATATCTTCTTTTTCTCTATCAAGCTTTTTTAATTAATCTTCTACTTCTACAAGTTCCAATTCTACTCTTGAATGTTCATCATTTAATTATTTTTGTAATGCAATTTGCAAACGAGCCAATAAATGCTAATTTAATAAACATTAAACAAAATACATGATCTGCTGGTAAGAATGCCATTGGATCTTCCTCTAAATTTACTTAATCATCATTATTATCATTGTCTGCCATTTTAAATAATAATAAAATATTAATTAAAACCAAAAAAATTGTATCAGTTGTTAAAATTTTGCTTTCCCTTAATCCTAATTTTATTTATTTATGAAAAAAATTAAAATCAATAAAAATGGTTGCACTCAATCACCTACTCTACATCAATTAATCACTTACATACTTTATTTTCCAAATCTCTTAATTTGTTATTTACTCATATCTTTACTCGATTACATTGTAAATTTATATCTACATTTTAGGCTATACATTTCACTATTTTAGGAATCTTAACTTTGATATCTTTATTTTCAAGTGTCAAAACTACTTTAAGTTGTCCAATTGATTAAGTTATCATTAAATAAATTTAAAATCGTCTTTCAGGGTAAGATTGATCTGTAATCCTAGATAATCATTCAATCCTGGAAATCATAAATTAGATTCATTTTGTGATATATGTTATGCCTATGTATAAGAACATTCTAAACATTGCAGAAATTGTGATATGTAAAACATATTCAAATCATTATTAGATGTTGTTAGGGATTTGATCATCACTGTAAATGGATTAATAATTGTGTTGGAAATCTAAATTACAGAATGTTCATCTTAATGATCAGTTCAACAATGGTTTTGTTCATATACACTATGTTTATTTATATCTACATTATCATATTGTATCAAACAAATTATGATACACTTGTTATAGATAATGATTTATAAACCTTTGTAATCATTTCTTTATTATGTTAAAGCATTTTACAAATGAAAACGATCTTAATATCAAATATCTATTATCTATTATAATGTTAGGAGATTCCTCTTTGATTGTAATTTTACTATTACAATTACTGATCTTTCATATTTATTTAATCATAAAAGGTCAAACAACTTATGATTTTTTAATTTAAAACTCATTTAAAAAGATTTTGCCACAATTTCAAATTGGACCTTAAATTTTTCAGACAGCATCAAAAACCAACATAAAAGTTAATAATGAAATATATGGATTGGGAAATAGAAATACTATGTAACTTCAATTATCATTTTTAGAGTTGATATAAATTAAAGTTAACAAAAAATAATTCCACAGACTGATCAAAATTAGATTGTAATTGAAAATCAAATTTTAAAATGATGCTATTGATTTTAGTTTTTCAGAATTGAAATATGAAAATTTTGAAATAAACTTTTTATTGATCCTTTTCAATAATTTTTCTTTTTATATTTATTAGAAACATTGAAATTAATTATTATGAAAAATAGATTAAAGTCTTATTTATATTTAATTAATTAACAAATTAATGTTAAATAGCTCGTTATATTAATCACCCTAAACAAAAAATTTGAAAAGTGTGATTGCTCCACAATCTTCAATAACTGATAGAAATGGTAAAGGATTATTTAAATGTAATAGTTTCCCCTAGTAGAGCCAAAATTGCTTAGTTAAGTGAAAAGTTATCAGGATTATAGATTGACGAAGATAAAACTTTAAAAAAAGAAACTTATGAATCAAAGTTAAAGCTTTTTGATGAGAAATTTTAAAAGGCTTATTAAAATGATATAAACAGATTAAAAATAGTTTAAGACTAATTGAGTAAAATGGAAGAAGGATTAACTAACGAAAAAATAATTAGAGATGTTTGAATTCAAATTTTTATTATAGTCAAGAGATGATAATTTTAAATAGAGAGATTTAAAGGGTTTAGAGTAGAGTATAGTTAAAGAATTACAAAAAGATAAAACATTGAGAAGAGAATCAGAATTGAAAGTAGCAAGATTAATTGATGAAAAATCTTATTAATTTAGATTAGAATTAGCCAAATAAAAAAAAATGAGAGAGGAAACAGAAGAATAATATTCTAATGAAATAGGTGAAAGAGTATTAAATCTAGCAGAAGAAGTTTAAAATGAAAGAAGAGAAAGGTATTTATAATAAGAATTAATTTATAGAGAAGCTGCTTGTTAAGAGTTAATTCGAAGATTTGGAGAATCTGTATTTCAAATATAAGAGACTTTAACTAAAGAGAAAAGATAACGATAAGAATCTCAATCTCAAATGTATAGAATGATAGATGAGATGAATAATATTTTAAATTTATAGTTAACAGAAGAGAAATCATAAAGAGAAGCTACAGAAGAAACTATGCTTAGACTCTTAGATGAAACATGCAATAGAGTTGAAAACTCTCTAAGAAGATGATATTCAATTTATCATATATTTAATGACAAAATTATTATAGTAATTATTAAATGGTATATTCAACCTTTTACACTATTTAATAGTCGAAAACCAAGTTTAAAAAATAATTAATCTTCATCATCATTTATTTGATTCAAAATGTGACTATTATCTTTAGGTTATACATCCTAAGGCTTTTCATTGTGTATTGAAGGTTGTTATTTCTTATTTTGTAACATAAAATTTATTTTTTTATCTTATTATTCGCTTCTTTAATTTTTAGTCTCTTCTTTTAAATTTTAAGTAGCACTAGGGGATTAACTTCGATAAAAATAAAAAATAAACCATTATTTTGTTCTGAAGGTATTATATTCAGATGTTTTTCTAAATTTTTTTTTGTTTGTGCCTTTATTTGCAGATTTCTATTTTGCGATAGAATATAACAAAAAGGCACAAGAAATTGCTACTCCAAAGAAAATTTATGTTTAGGTGGATTGCATGTTGCTTTTAATTAGATTGAAATGATATAAATAATAAAATTGAATGATAAGAAATAATATATACTTAGTTAGTATCTATTTGTATCGAATCTTTATATATTGTAATTTAATGCAAAGAATGTTATAGATTTATTATCAAATTTATAATCATAAGAAGATTTTTTTCAGGGTTTTCTATAGGATGCTAGATACTCAGTGATTTTTAATAATTTTCTGGTCATATTTTTCCTTAATTATAGTTTTTTGTTTTTTTCTTTTAAAACTTTTTCATGTTATGGTATTTCTAATTATTCATTACAAAGAGTTTTGACAGGTTATCTATTAGTATAGTATGTATTTTTAATTGATTTAAAATTAGATCCTTATTATGGTTTTCTGACATTGATTGGTTTGACAAGAGGGAAGTGATTTTGTAATAGGATGATTCTAGGAGAACCCATTTGTAATTAGGAAGGATATCTAAAATGTTGTTTAGAAGGATAATGAATGGAATCAGTTTATTAAGATCCTTCTACAAGTGAATAGTGCATGTAAATAATAATAATAATGTTTTATTTTGTACTAAATTTTGATTATTTTGTCAATATAGGACTGGTGAATTAAAATGATTTTTTTCTAATTCAGTTGAAACAGCTTCTTATGTGGCATACCATGGATTTGCAGTATAAACATTTTAAACAGGTACGGCTAATGAATATTAATAACTGAAATATAATGAGAATTAGATAATACGCTGTTTTAGCACAATTAAGATAGTCTCTTTTTTCTTTATAACATTCTCCACCCCTAGAATAATAGTAAAGTAATAATACCAATGATCTAAAGTTTGGTCAATAGCTGCAAGAGATGTTTTAAATAAATTATCTGTTTTGATTTATTAGCACTTGAAGAAGGGAACATATAAATTAACACATCTATCTCTAAAAGCAGTAGGAATTCTATAAGCATCCAATTCTTCTGTTGAATATACAAATCCATCTTAAAATATAAGGAAATTATAATTACCAGGTCTTTCATAATATTTTTGGTGATGGTGAGACATTGTTTATTTCTTAATTTTAATAATAATAATTTATAATCATTTACATATTTTTGCTATCCATTCTTTTGATTTAGCTAATTGTTCTGCATCTTGACTAAGTGGAATTGTATATTGAAGATATTGATATAGATTTTTATTAAGTTAAGTTTAATTGTAGATGCCAATCATTACAGTTTTTTTGAAATCAGAATCTTATGACCATTAGCTTTCATTACTTTATACAGCTATACTTAATTCTTCAATTTCGTTGATTTTATGAATGTAAATCAATATAAATGAAAATTGTTTACCTTAATTAAAATGTTGTTTATAAATGCTAATTAATTCTGAAACAGAATATGTAATAATTGGGTCCCCTATCATCTAATTTCCATACATGCTATTACCAAATCTTTAGGCAGCTTGAATAAATTGAGTATTCGGTATTAAACATAAAATTATTGGTAGTTATTTTGGTAATTCATCTAATCTAACTTTATTAGACCATTTTCTTTATTACTTTCTTAATCTATGTTCTTTAACTCTAATGTTAAATATTAAATCTTAAAATAATTTATTAAAATACCATTGTTATCATCCAAATTAGGTAATTATGTTTTAGATCTTTAAACTATGGAAACTAAGTTATTTCTAAATCTACTCATTACACAAGGACTGAAAAGAACACTTAATTATTTTTAATCTTAATTTTTTCTTCCCAAAATAGATTTATTTACTTATTTCTTTTTTTTATTTAATGGATGAAGGAGAGGTTATACTCTTAAATTATCGAATTTTTACAATTATCTTGGTTTTAATTGTGGAGTAATAAATTATTTAGGTTGAGAATCTTTCTTTAGAGATTATATCTCATTATGATCTTGTAATTAATCTCCATAATCTTGAGCAAATTAAGTGTCTGATCTTATACTAATTTGACTAATCTTATCATTCTAAACATTATGATATCCAATATCAAGTATAGTTTTATCATGATCTAAAATTCCCTCATTGTATGCTGCTTATAATGTTTATTCGAGTAATTGTATCATCTCTTCTTGAATTTAAGGGAATTGTGTAGTATATTTAATGGCATTTTCGACTTCTTTGATAATGTCTTGATTTTCCATCAACGTATTTTCAAGAGATTAAGTATTAGAATTAGCAGCAGATGCTTATGCTGATTGGGGAATGGATTTTAATTGTATGGTTGAAGCTAGAGAATCAGGATTATTAAATTTTGCAGTGTATTTTTAAAGAGGAGATCTGAAAGATTTATCATAAGTCATAGTTGGTGAAGAAAATCTTTTAGCATTCCAAAAGTAATGATTAAGATCAATAAAATTCTTAGTAAAGTTTAAATCTACCACTTGAATATTGTCACAGGATTTATCACTCCTTTTACCTAATTAAACTTTAGTGATTAATAAAATAATGATATTATCACCATCAGTTTTATAATCAATAGATAATAATTATTTACATTAATTAATCATGTAAAGCAATAATCTCTCATTTTCATTTTCATATTCATCTTAACAATATAATTTCATTTATTTATTTGAACATGGATAACTAATTGAAATCTCTAAGTCATACTCAGATTTATCTAAGTAAACTTATGCTATTCTAACATTTATCGTTAATAGATCAGATTTCTGTTCCACCAATAATGCACTCATTAAAAATGCATATAAACTATACAAAATTGCATGTTTATTCCCTAACAATTTTTCAGGAATTCCCTCTTCAAATTCAAGTTAAATTAAATTGTAATGCTCCTATAGTCTATTCACCATTGATTCAATTACATTTACCACATAGTTCTTCACTAAATCATATAATTTACTTACAAAAAAACTCATCTTTCTCTAACCATGAATATGTTATCTATTAACTGTCATGATTCAATAGATTTATCATATCTATTTATTATTTCAATAGTCTACAATCCATAGTACATTATCCCAATATACTTAAATCACTCTCTTTTACTACTTTGAATGCTCTCAAATTGTTCCACTTCTAGTAATCCTAACATAATAAATTGTATAATTAATCAATCTATTGTGAAAACTTTTAAAACAATTCCACATCCCCACAACTAAATTATTATTGTGTCAAAATGAAATCATTATCATATTATTCTAATATGTATTCTTTACTCTTTATTGTTATTTTATTCATTTTCTTTTTCCGTATTGCATTACTTAATTTCCTTTATAACTCATTCTCAAATTATTTTACTTTATTGTTACTGTACAACATATTTCCTTCACTGTTTATCATAAAAATCTCTATTGGCAATTTCTCTAACATACACTCCTTTTAATGCTATTAATATTCCTCTATATAAAATGAGATAAAAAATCTTCGCTTTAATATTTCAAAATATCTAGACAACATTACTAATCCAAATCCTATGTATAATCCATTCAAAGACCTAACCTAAATCATCTGAAACAGAATTTAAGTCCACCAATCAGGTATAAATATCTAATTTAACAAAAATGAACTCAATAATGCATGATTCTAATTTTAAAGAAGTAACTCTGGAAATAATAATAGAACCTATTACTAACTTTTATTTTCATACTCTTAAGAAATAAATTAATTTATTATGATTTTTTAAAATAGCTGTTAAAATCAATGTCATCAAAACTACTCCAATATTTATCATACTCCAATCAAATGCTGTCGATATAACAATAAAAGGATATAACCATTATCCACTAAATCTTGAATTTCTATATCTAGTTTCCATTTTTAACTAATTAAACCTTCCTAACAATGAAATCTCATCAAACATCTTTTATTTTATTTATGAAAATTAATATATTATTATTATTATTCATTTTATTTCTACTCTATTTCAAATCTCCTTACCCTCTCACTATTTTTATATTCTCTTATCTTATTAATTTTCTTTTTTATTAAAATATTAATCTCATGACCACTAAGGTTCCAGAATTAATCAATCTCAATGATTCAGTTGCTTCTTTAACCGACTTCCTCAAAAAAATCCCAGAAGAAATACACACTTCTTTCGATTACAAAATCCCAAATGGAATTATTTTGGATGAAATCATTACTTAACTAATCAAAAACCCTAAGAAATAAGAAGATCAAAAAATTATATTCAATGATATTGGATATCAAAATATACACACTATTGAATCTATTCTAGGCATTCAGTTCAAAGTTACAAAAGACATTGAAGAATTACTTAATGAATAAACATAAATCTATATGAATCAATTTATGCTCACTATCCCTTAAGAAAAAGAATCCTAAAGTAACAGCATTGTTAGTGTACAAATCAATGAATTAGAAAATACTAAACTATTACATTAAAAGGATATTATTTAATTAACTGGATTATAATCGAAATTGCATAAACAAGATGTTCGATAAGAATTAATTGAATAATTACTTGAATCTAAAAAGTTTAATATTCGCATTACACAATAGTCCATTAATTTATTCAATGATTAGTTAATGTTTAGAAAATTATTTTAACAATTTCGCTAATAATTTGAAGAATTTATTTATTGCATTTTAAAATTAGAAACCACTCTAACATTTAGAACATAAAAATTAAAATTAGAATTACAAATGAGTTAAAATGAAAGAGAAAAACTACAAATTAAAGAAATTGAAAAGTTAAAATCCCTCATTAAAGAAAAAGATGATTAATTAAATGATATTACAAATAAAATCTAATTTAATGTGACTCACTATCAAAAATTAGAAGAATAAATTGCAGTTGCAAAACAAAACATTTAAAAATAACTATTATCTATCAAACAATAAAAATAAGAAAAAGAAGATAAATAAAAAACTAGTTCTCCATCTGCTATGAGTGCTTCCAAATCCAATATTTCAGATTTAGAAATCTTAAAATAATAAACAAGGAAAGTTAGCAATTCTTATGCACATAGAAATAGATTTAAAACTGTTTTTTTCAAAAGATGAAATATATTTATTTAATAGTTATTTTAATGTTTTATTTTTTGGTTAAGCAAATCCTTATATACTCCAAAAGTTCTATTTGTTAACAATATATTATAATATAATAACAAATCATTTATAAAAAAAAATTAATAAAAAAGATTTTTGTATGATTATGTAAGTGATGACAATATAAAAATATTATTTATATTAATCATGAAAATATTGATATTTTTGCTTGTATCTATGTCATTTACTTTTGAAATTGATAACGGTAAGGTGAAAGGATCAGTCATTTACAATAGAACTGCAAATTCAACTGGATGGAATTTTCTCTAAATCAATCTAGAGAGTATTGAAAATGATGAAGATGTTTTTGCAACAGCGGGAAGATTAGAGGGAGAGGAATCCAGAGAAGAAATTTACAATGCTTATATGAATTATATTTATGGAATTCAAGGAGGAAGACACTTTTTACCAAAATAGCTTTAGAGATATGTGCATAATTAATATAAATGGCTGAAAGAATAAAGTTAATCTTAAAATACACCATATTGGAGGATGGTTAAATATCTTTTGATTTAGTTAGAAAACATGTATGAAGGATACGATTATCATTATGGTAAAACAGATAAAGCCTTATCTTTTGATTAGTTCTATTACCTTAGTAATATGGGTGATCTTTAAGATTTGTGGCCAAGCGTTGGTTAAATTTAAACTTAAGGTATTGGAAATTGTAATTCCTTTTATAAACCAGGTATTATGGCACATTCTACTTTTAACGTATATCAAACTATGCTTAGAGTTTATAAAAGCTATAATTTTAAATTAAAAGATAAAGATGTAGTAAACCAGCATTTATCTTTTACAGCAAGACCAGGAGATTTAGAATCCAAAGATGACTTTTTTGTTCTTTGGGATACTTAAATGGTAGTAACAGAGACTTCTTTTAATAATTATAACAAAGAAAATTATGATTATTTTCATTTTGATTCAGTTCCTTGTTGGATGAGAGTAAATATAGCAAGCAGATTAGCCAAGAATCCTTAAGAATGGATGGATATTTTTGGCTAATATAGAAGTGGAACTCATAATAATTAATGGATTGTGACAGATTATAACAAAATTTTTATGGGAGAAGAGGCTTTCTTTCATTATAAAGTTCAAGATTTAACAAATACACTTTTATCTAGTTAGGGTTATGTTGCATCATATAATGTACCTTTAGATTAAGAAATTTTTGATTCTTTAAGTAAGATTCTTATTATATTCAAGATTATCCTAAAACTACTTCTTATAATGATGATGTTAGAGCTAAATAATTTAGAATGTATTAAGGAAACCTAAAATCAGTAAAAGAAATTGGAAAATTAGTAAGATATAATAAAGTTACAGCTGAATTTGATTATTGTGATGGAGCATTAAGTCCAAGATGTGATTTGGGAAATGGATACACTTTTGGAGGTATTGATGGAAAAGTGATTAGTTAGGACATGATTAAAAATAAAAAAGTTCATTTAATTTCAAGTCCTTCCTATCAAAATCATAATCCTTTCAATTGGAAATCCTATCCTAATATTCCTCATTTTGGAATGACAGATGAATGGCATTTTCCTTGGTATGAATTAGATGAAAATAACTTTACAATCAAAGAGTTATATTTAGATTATTGATATTATATATGTATGTCTTCAATATCATATACATAACTCTTAATTACATATTGTTTATGTTATTCCAAATGTAATCTTATTTAATCCAAAGTAATAAATACATGTCAACCATAATAATATATAATAATTATATAATTTTTAGGAAGCTTAAAATGAAAAATAAAAAAAAAGGTAAAGAGTAATCAATGAATAATTGTTAATTATATGTATTTGTAGACAATAATTGATTTCATGTCAATATAATCATGCTACTTGTAATGAAGCAAAATATTACAACTACGTAAATAACGACTAATACATATCCTATTCGACACTCTTCGAAATCATGATATGTTAATGCCCAAACTGCAAATAATTAAACTACATAAAATAGACCAATCATAAATTAATCAATTCGTCTATTACATTTATAGAGTATTCCATTCATCAAAAATATTAATCCAATCGGTATTAAAATTTCAGCCATGCATTATTGAAAAAATAGAATACTTAATACGGACAATCCAACAATTAAATCAAATACGCTACACATTTAAGGTTTTTCTATTTATTGCACACTTGAAACAGGTTATTCACCATCTTCACTTTGTGTATTTATCATTTATTATAATATTTATACGAAAAATTCATCATTATCAAGTAATTGTAAAATTTTAAAGCTTTTCATTATTAATACTTCCTTTCAATTAATGTTTGTATTTATTCTTTTAAATTCATTACAATTCACTTTAAAAAATATAGAAAAATACTTATTTCCACATAAACAGATGAATCTAACAGACAAAAGAACTCTTAAAAACCTACAATATCAACAAACATTTGAACTGAACTGAAAAAATAATAAATTTTAGTTATTAAGTTTTAAACGATTATATTATTCAAGTCGTTATTATGAAATGACATATCAGATAAAATATTTATTTTATTAAGGAAATGCTTTAAAAACTTTAGGGAGTTTGAATGTTTATGAATTTTATTTTGGTTCTGGACTATAAAAAGTGAAAAGTTGCTATTCTTCACTTTCCTTTTGTCGCAAATCAGAAAAATTTGAATGTTTTTTGTAATTGAAAAATTATTTCCTTTTTTCAAGTATTTACAAATTATTTAAAGTTTAAACTCTTTAAGTCCTTAAAACTATATCTTTCTCTATTTTCGTTTATAATCTGCCAATTTACAAATCTTTTTCAGAACATTGCTCTAATAACTTTAAATTTTCTTCTAATAATTATTTGATTCTTCTTTCTTTTTCCTCATTCATGCTTGTAATCATGGCTATAAATCAAAATAAATAATACATTTAGATGGTTAACTTTATTCTAAGAATTTTTGAGAACGTTTTTGAGAAATTTATTTTTTGGGTGTTGGTTCGGTTGATTCGATTGTCTAAATGCTCATTCCTTTTTTCTTGAAAATATTAAACTAAGCTTTTGCTGATGATTCCATATTTTATAGATCTTAAAATAAGAATTAGTGTTAAAATCTTGATTTTATTATAACAAAACACAAATATTGTAAAGAAATATCATTAATATTCAAGTTAGTTATAAGAATTAAAAAATATGATTCAATAAGAATTCTTAAGTTACTACTAAAATACAAATCAAAGAAGTCTGAATCAGTTCAAATAAGGGTTTCTTAAATTTTAGTCATCATTTAAGCTTATATTAAAATAATTTGAAATAGTTTATATGAATTATATATGTCTTAAAATTTAGAGAAGCTTATTTTTATATTAAAGGAATAATTATTTGCTACATTTAACCTTAATCATTACTTAGTAAAGTTATTACTTATCTGTATATATAAATTAAATAAAAATTAAAATTTTTTTGAATGAGTATATTTATTAATTAGCATTAAATTTTATTAAAATCTAATTTAAATTAGTAAGTTTTTATTGTTTCTTTTAAGGAAGATCTCAAGGCTGAAAATGAAAAATGACAGTAAATTAACGTATGAAATATAATATATTAAGGCAAAATTTAAGATATATCATACTGATTTTAATTAATATTTTACTTTATTTAGTAAATAAAAAGTATGTAATAAAATAAAGAAAGTTTGAAAGAAAAATAAATTTGATTAAGCGATAATTATTAAAATTGTAATTGTAATAGAATTAAAATTAACAATGATAAAACTAATACTTTTATATTTATACTTAATAATAATTTCAAGAATTATGCTTGAACAATTCTATACCAACTAAAGTGATTAACATAATGTAGATCATATAATATGGGTTTTAGATGTTTTAACTTTCTTCGATTGTTTATCCTTGAATATCTCCATACAAATTAACACTCAAAACTTATGAAGTTTCTTATTATTATTAATCATCTAGATATAAAAGAGAGAGGTTACATGAATTATAGATAAAAGCATTTTTTAAAACTGTTCCAGTAAGTATGGATTGGAACATCATAATAGCATTAATGAATAAATTTGAAATAGCTAATGAAATAGAAGCTCCATGGCCAAAAATGATTCCAGTAAATAAAACAGCTATTGTACACTATGAATTAAAGGAAAAGATACTGATAATAAATTGACAAGCACATAGTAATTTCCTTGTCTATTTTTCAATGGAAAGTAAGTATAAGAAAAATTTTCAAGAGCAACTTCTTCGTCTGGTTTATTTTTTCTCAATTGATAAGATTTTTCATCATATAACTAAGATTTAGTGTAAAATTTACAGCTTCTTCACAAATGGTTTTAACAATAAAGATGGTTAGCCCTTTATTGTAATAAGCTAATCCAAAACCAATTAAGAAACCAAAGAGATTATATCCATTTAGTTATAAAATAAAGGTTTTACTAAAAAATATAGAAGTCCCAATAATTAAGATAGCTGCAATAATAAGGCCGCCTGCATTTGTAATTTTTAACCATACAATATAATTTTTAGCAGCCCATGTTATTGAATGTAATCTATCTTTAATATTGTTAGTGAATTAAGCTAAAAACGATAATTTGAGACCGTCTCCAGATAAAGTACCAAGCATTGATATTGCCATCAATATATAGATATTTAAAATATATCCCAAAAATAATCCTAATATTCCAACTAAAGATGCTAATTTATAGGAAATGAAAAGAGAAAGAGCAATTAAAAGTGCTGGTATAATTTATCCAATATTTCCTATAGAATATGCTTAAATAATATTAAGAGTAGGTGCTTTATATGAAACAAGAGCCACTTTTTATGCAACTGAATAACCATGACTTGTTAGATACTCATAATAAATTATTAAAATAGCTGAAACAACAATTCCAATGAAACCACATCCCATAAAATCTCTATTAAAAACTTTTTCTCTATATATTTAAGTATAGTCTTTATCTCCAAATTCAAATTCTTTAGGTAAAGATAATAAAGAAAAAATGACAAAACATAAACTTAAAAATATTGACATTAGTATTTAACATCTTACATTATTAGCAGTGAATGCAACTGCATCATCATTTTTGAGAATGTGACTTAAAAATGATATTAATAATTAACCAATCCAACTTAGAATGAAAACTATTTGAATTCCAAACATTTTGCCAATAAAATTATCTGAATAATGATAATCGACTGAATTTACTAATACTATTGATGGCATTGAAACAAATAATGATAATACTAACATAGAATCAAAGAAATTAACTTCTGCTAATAAAGAGGACATACCAGCTGCAATTTTAGTTGTATAAGATAAATTATTTCCAAATTCTCCTAAATTTTATTCCTTTTTAATCATTAAATCGCAGGCTGCTTAAATTCCTCTACCTGTTACTGACATACCTTCTCTAAAATATATTCCAGATATCAACATTCCTAATGGAAAACCACTTATCATTATTGCATAATTCTCTGGCTTTGTTGATTAAACTGACATAGCCTTCATTATTAATACTATAAATAAAGAATTCAAAGTTATTATTCCACCAATAAATAATGCTGTAAAGAATCCATTTCCATATATCCATTTTAAAACATCTTCCTAAATATAAAAATTATTCTCACCTTTCCTATAAATGCTTTTTAAGGAATTCTTAGTAATGTACCTATTTTCACTGCAATTATCAAATATGCAATAATACATGTTATTATTGTACCCCAAAAATAACTGATGAAAAAACCCCAAAAAGTTCCTGAAGGTGTTAACCAAGACTAAACTACTTTTTCTATATAAATACGGCTATAATCAACAAAAAGCCTCCACTTGTTATTATTGTTATAATTAACTAATTCAGGTACAATTCTTTCAAAGTTATCTCTATTGTTTATAAATAAGTTGCCATATAAGCAGGCAACTCTTATTTCCAATTCTATTCATCTATTTCCTATTCATCATACAAATTCCCATAATCTATTATCAAATTCTAATAATCATCCTCTTGCTTTATTGAAAAACTCTATATAACTATTCAATTATGTTTACTGTCCCTAAAAACCCCATTAGAAATAAAGCTATGGCTAAGACACAGAATATTGATACAATTAAGTATACCGACAAATCTGTGAACATATAAATTATATTTATAATACTATAAAAACGTAAAATTTTATTAATTAGTTTCAATTGCTTATTAAATAACCAAAATAATTTTGCATGTTATACTTACTAATACTATCAAATAGCCATTTTTAATTGACTATCATCGGTATACATTCAATACGAGTATAATTTATTTGAGGATCTTAAACTATTTTTATTATAATAGTATTTTAAGTCTTCTCCTTTTAATTTACTATGTTCCCACCACAAAGTGATATTAATGTTTCTATATATTCTTAATTAATTATTGTTTTATTAATATTTCCTATCTCAATGTTGAATTCATAATTTCTTAAGAAATCATACATTCCTCCTCTAGTTCTTGATATTTTAGGAGTCAGAGTTGGAAATTCATCTCCTTTGATTTCAAAATCTTCTTCGCTTAATATTGTATCACATTTTAGACTTTCTATCACCCATTCCACATTAACTATCCAAATCCCTCGAGCCAATGCTTCTAAATATTTTAAGGTTCTTCTTGCTATATAAGGTTAGTTTGGATTTTCAGGACCTGAAATAAGGTGTGTAATCTTAGAATTCAAGTTTGAATTCGATTTTATTTTGAATTATTTTTAAAACCTTTCAAAGCATTCCTTAATTTACAAATTTCATTACCTTATATTCATCAGATAAATTTGAAGTGCATATAAAAAAATTTGTAGATTTTGATTTTTTTCTACTTACATCTCCTTTCACTTTAGTAGTATCTTGATCCATTATATTCAAGACCGCCTATAATGATATATTGAGATTTATTTTGTTAAGATTGAAAGGCTATTTACAAAGCGGGCATTTAGAAGATTTTGTTGTTTTTCCATAATTTTGAATGCAATCGCGGCAAAAACTATGTCCACAAGGAATTACAAATGGAATACTAAATAAACTTAAGCTTAATTAATATTTATCATAGCATACCAAATTGAGCATTGTAGTTCATTTGCTAAATTTTCAATCAACATAAAATAATATAATTGTGAATGAAGTTAATTAAAATAATATTACAATACCTCTCAATTTTATCATTATAAAAGCTTTAATATATAACCTATAAGGTTCTTACAATAATTAAATAAATCTCATCAAGTAATGAACATTTATCATAATAACACCTACTCAAGTAATAGAAAACTAATGTTTCAAATTATGAGTTATTATAAATTTATGAAATTACAGTGAATTAAATAAAATAATTATATATAAAATAATGTTTAATGGATATCAATATGATAAGTAACTAACATTTACAAAAGAAATTGACAAAATAAAGAAAGATTATATAACAGAAAGATAACGTAGAAAAGGTATGAGAAGTTACATAAAAAATAGATATGAATCAAAGATTGTCTAAGAATTATAAAAAGAGAGTTGAGAACTTCGTCATAAATATGTTAGAAAACCCTGTAGTTTGTAATGAATATAAGCCTCCAGAAAGTTATAAGTATAGAGATGAGGATCCAACAAAAAATTTGGGAGATCCTTAAATATATGTTAAAGGTTTCAAACATGAGAAGGAGAGAATTTTAGAAGCTTAAGAAAAAAATAAGGATTTAGATTTTCTTCCAAATTTAAAAGTGGGAAAGCATTCTTTTAGAGAAAGAGATCCATCAAAGGATATAAAAAGAGATATTTTCAGATATAGAGATAAAACTGCTTTAGCTAGAATAGAATAATATTTGAAAGATCATACATAATCATAAGTAGAGAATATGAAAATAGACCATAAAAAAATAGTTAGTTTAGAGAACTTTTCAGAAGGAATGTCAGCTTTAGAAAGAAGAGCTTATTTATCAAGATTAATAGCTAAAAATTTATTACCTTCATTACATAATAAAACTCATTTTTAGGCAGCCTAAACAATGTTCAATAATTTGCCTTGTAAATAATATAAATAATAAAAAAAGTAACATTGATGGAACATACAAGATCATAACCATTATTACATACTTAAGAGGAAAGTAGAAAAAAACAACCATTGTAATCATCTGAAAAACCAAGATTATTGTCTTAAGAAGCACCAGCAAGACTTGAAGATATGGGAAGTGAGAAAGATAAAAAATAAGGAAATGAAATGGAGACATTTAATCCAGTTGAGACTTCAAAAATGATATTGAAAAAGTGTAATGTTGTTAAAGATAAGAATCCTAAAGTATTTAAAATAATAATGTATTTTAAGGTTCCAACATTACATTAAGGTTCGGGACATCTTATATCTACAATGGATAAATCAATATAGGATGTTTATAGAGAGTTATATCATGTAGATTTTAAAAAATATGATTGAGATAATAAATTAAAATTACTATGATTGATAATATGTTATTAAATTTAATTTATGAGAAATTGTGTAAGATAAGTATTCAGATCTAAGTAGTAATTAAGAGGAGCATGGTCTTAAAATTATTTATAAAGACCAGGAGAAGGATAATTAAAAAATGTAACTATGCTTCCAGGAGATGGAATAGGTCCTGAAATTACAAGTATTATTATAGTATATATAAAGAAAGTGTTATGTAAGTTTTTGATGCTTTACATGTTCCTATAAAATTTGATGTTTTAGATAATTTTAATTTTGATAATGATGAATAAAGAAGTTTATTGAAAAAAAATGAGTGTATATTATTAGGAGTTATGACTGAAAAAAATTAAAAATATACAGATAATTATAGGTTTTATAAATATTTAGATTTATATGCAAATATAACTTTTGCATTTTCAGTTGAGGGAATAACATAAAGACATAATAATACAGATATTGTTGTAATCAGAGAAAATACAGAAGGTATATTTATGATATTTAGAATAATAGGAGAATATTCAGGAGTAGAACATGAAGTTTATCCTGGTGTTGTAGAATCAATAAAAGTAACAACTAAATAAGCATCTCTAAGAATTGCAGAATATGCATTTGAATTTGCTCATTTAAGTGGAAGAAAGAAAGTAACAGCAGTTCATAAAGCAAATATAATGAAATTAGTTGATGGATTATTTTTGTAAGCTCATAGAGAAGTAGCTTAAAAATATCCTTTTATAAAATATGAAGAAATGATTATTGATAATTGTTGTATGTAATTAGTAAAGAATCCAACGTAATTTGATGTAATGGTAATGCCTAATTTATATGGATCAATTGTATAAAATGTTGTAGCTGGAATTACTGGAGGAGTAGGAATGGCTGCAGGTGCATCAATAGGAAAAAATCATGCTCTCTTTTCATAAGGATGTAGACATACAGGTAGAGATATTGCAGGTAAAATTTAATTTATAAGGCAGGGTAAAATATTGTCAATCCTTCTGCTTTGCTTGTCTCTTCTTCATTATTATTGAGACATTTAGGATTACCCAATTTCGCTGATTAAATATGTAGTGCAGTTTAAGAAACTATTTAAAATAAAAATGTATTTATATTTTATTATATTCTTAATTATAGTTTAAAACTAAAGATATTGGAGGTAAGGCTAGCACTGAATAATTTACAAAAGAAGTAATTAAATGCTTAGGCAAATGATGAATTATTATTATTAATCATAATTATATCCATTATTATCTAATCAATAGATTTCTATATCTTAATTTTTATATAAATATCTTATAAAAATCTTATCAATTTTCTTTGAACTATTATTTATTTATTAAATTATTAAAATACAGCAGTAACTTTAAATATGAAGAATATAATATCTTTCAAGACATCTTCATATCTATTACATCAAAAATTTAGAAGAAAATAAGTAACAATAAATTTATAGAAAATTAATAAGTGCAAAAATTATAGATTGTTAAATCTTCAGCATTTAATTAATAATTCATTGATAGATAATCTAAATAATTTACTTATTATTCTCATACTTATATATTTTTAAACGAAGAGAATTTAATTTCAAAAAACAAACACAAAGAATATATATGTCAAATTATTTTTTTAAGAAATCGTAAATACTGCATTAATCTAACAATTTTCAATTTGTTAAATTTATATGTAATTAAAATGATTTGCCTTATTTATTAAAGATCTATGAATTTCTTAATTTAGAATTTATTTCCATTCTAACTTTATTTATATGCTCTCTTTTTATTTAATAAGCTTAGAGATTTAAACAACAGAGGAGTTTTTCTATAGATACAATCTAGTGATTTTTATATAAAATTTTAAATAAAAAATTAATTATAATAATGATTCATAACTTATTTATAATAGTATTTTTTGCTTTATGGACTTTCCTTTTTCTAGTCTTAATCTTGATAGGTTATTTCCTAGAAAAAAAATATAAATTAGCAACCATTACTCCAGAGATTAAAAGTTAAACTGCATAAAATAGTGTGATATTTCTCAATCAAATGATAGTTTCTAACGTATAGAAGCCTTGTTCTTAGAAAAAGGACACATTTGTTGAAGATTTAATTAACAATCAAGCACCGTTCTAATAATAAAACATACAATAGAATGATAAAGAAAATAGAGTTCTAGTTAAAAATGAATCAGCAAAAATAGAAACAGCTTCAAAATAAGCTTCAATCCAAATTATAAAATAGTAGAAATAGACCCCAACATAAACAATATTTTCAAGAAAACCAATATTAGGTATACTGGAAGGAATTGAGACTGTGTAATCTACAAATCGAAGAAGTGTACGATCAAGACATTCAGCCAATAATAGTGAAAGAAACAGTATTTTTGGATAGACTCCAGATTAAAACCATCTTAATTAACCAAAGATACATTCTATTTCAAATTTTTAGATAAGTGGAAATTTACTTGCATTTTAGAATAATAAGATTCCAAAACCAGCTAAGGATTATTATGTATTAAGAATTTGTTTAATTTAGAAATGTAATTCATTTGCTAAAATTTTTTACAGTCACAAGGTTGGATTGTCTAAAATTTTCATGCTTTCGTAAATTTATTTTCGATAAATTCTTTGTTTTGAAATTTGTGGAGCATTATTACTATATATATAGCAATTATAGTATTATTATATCATGGGATCTTCCTGTGGTGGATGCTTGGTATTAAAAATATATGACTATTATGTAATAAAGTCAATATGCAAAAATGGTGGTTTCTTTCTTAAAATAATGAGTATTGTAATGTGGGCTATTGTATTTTCAATTCTAGTTTTAGGAATTATGCTTTCCTAACCTAATAATTTCATTTGCTTATTATATTATGCACCTACTTTGGCTTTTGAATTATTTATTATTGATCCAATAAGATATTTAATTATTAAAAATTGCTTAGCAGAACCAAAAATAATAATAAATAAGAAATAATAAAATATTTAATGAATGATATAAATTTATAATTAATTTGTAAAATAATTATTTAATTTCAATGTCTTAAAATATTACAGCATAAGTACGAAATCTCAAGTTAAAGATAATGTAAAAATTATTAGAATACAATCAAATAAAATAAAAATCAAAAATCTCAGAAAAATCTAATCAACAACCCAAATAAGATTGAACCAGAAACTTTGATTCTTTATAACAATTAATTGAAATCCTACATCAACTCTTTATCTGATGAAGTCGAAATTTGGAAATTAAAATATCATTAACTCTGAGTAAGGATTTTAGAGTATAGAGACTAGACCAAAAACCATGTTTGATAATTGTAAAGTATTTTTAATATCTCCAAAAAAAAACTGAAAACATTAGTATCTGATTTAAGAGATAAAATTAAACAATAGAAGAATATAAAAGATGAATAATGTTACTAAATATAAAGAATTTTTGGTAAGTTTGATTNAGCCAATAATAGTGAAAGAAACAGTATTTTTGGATAGACTCCAGATTAAAACCATCTTAATTAACCAAAGATACATTCTATTTCAAATTTTTAGATAAGTGGAAATTTACTTGCATTTTAGAATAATAAGATTCCAAAACCAGCTAAGGATTATTATGTATTAAGAATTTGTTTAATTTAGAAATGTAATTCATTTGCTAAAATTTTTTACAGTCACAAGGTTGGATTGTCTAAAATTTTCATGCTTTCGTAAATTTATTTTCGATAAATTCTTTGTTTTGAAATTTGTGGAGCATTATTACTATATATATAGCAATTATAGTATTATTATATCATGGGATCTTCCTGTGGTGGATGCTTGGTATTAAAAATATATGACTATTATGTAATAAAGTCAATATGCAAAAATGGTGGTTTCTTTCTTAAAATAATGAGTATTGTAATGTGGGCTATTGTATTTTCAATTCTAGTTTTAGGAATTATGCTTTCCTAACCTAATAATTTCATTTGCTTATTATATTATGCACCTACTTTGGCTTTTGAATTATTTATTATTGATCCAATAAGATATTTAATTATTAAAAATTGCTTAGCAGAACCAAAAATAATAATAAATAAGAAATAATAAAATATTTAATGAATGATATAAATTTATAATTAATTTGTAAAATAATTATTTAATTTCAATGTCTTAAAATATTACAGCATAAGTACGAAATCTCAAGTTAAAGATAATGTAAAAATTATTAGAATACAATCAAATAAAATAAAAATCAAAAATCTCAGAAAAATCTAATCAACAACCCAAATAAGATTGAACCAGAAACTTTGATTCTTTATAACAATTAATTGAAATCCTACATCAACTCTTTATCTGATGAAGTCGAAATTTGGAAATTAAAATATCATTAACTCTGAGTAAGGATTTTAGAGTATAGAGACTAGACCAAAAACCATGTTTGATAATTGTAAAGTATTTTTAATATCTCCAAAAAAAAACTGAAAACATTAGTATCTGATTTAAGAGATAAAATTAAACAATAGAAGAATATAAAAGATGAATAATGTTACTAAATATAAAGAATTTTTGGTAAGTTTGATTTTATGAAGTTAGATTCAATTATTCAATTATTAATCTTAAACACTTTTATATTAATAGGATTTAAAAGAATTATTATATTCAAAATAAACACTCAAAATAGTAGATCTGTATAGTAAATATCAGAAAAAATCGTAATCTTATATTAAGAATAAAACAGGAATACAGAGAGATGTTTTTAATCAACTTAATTGATTATTAAAGATAAAAAATTCGACTATTAATATGTATTTAAAGAAAATTACAAGAGAATTAATAATAATAAAATATAATCATCAATCAAGATAATAAATCTGTAGAGAATCTATTGAGGATTCCTAATTAGAAGATGAGTTTAAATTTCCTTATTCGTTTGATTATCAAAATAAAGATCAAGAAATAAATGATTTAAAACAATAATTATTTGAATAAGGTGAATTAAAAAATAATTAGAAAGATATTAATAGGTTTCTTAAGAATAAAAGATTTCTTAGCTTGAATATTAAGCTGATGAATTTAGGCAGGATTAGACAAGAAAATTAAAAATTTTTCTTGAATAATTCGGGTATGACAAAATAATAATAAATTTATTCAATTAAAATTAATTTTTGAAAAATCGCAATTCTAATTTATTTTAGTGGATAATGAAGTAGAAATATATAAAATCTAGTTAATGTGAGAAGATAGACTATGAATAAGCAATTAAATTTCCAGAAAATAAATTTATCTCCAAGGTAATCGGAATATATTTATTTGTTAATTATATATTTTTTCAGGATTTATGTATAATATACTATCTAAATGTAATGATATATATTTAATAAATTCAAATGAGTTGAATTCTTTAAAACTATAAAGCTCACACATTTTTGTTAATATAAAATTACAAATTGAAAACTATTTTTAGAAATAGATATTCTAATTTATTTGCATTAATAAATTAATATTAAATTAAAAAGAAATGAATTTTTTAAAAATTTAGAATTTGAATAAGAGAGATTTAATTAGAGGAGGAATTGTATTAGTATTATCAAGTGGGTTGGGGATTTGGACATTAGATAAATTATGCAATTATCTAAAACATAAAAAAATGGAAAGGATATGTTTAAGAAAGAGAGCATCAGCAAATGAGGCAATAAATAATTATAAACTAAAACATAAAAGTTGTTCATTAAATTAATAGATTTAAAAATAAATATTAAATGGTAATGTAGCTTAGATAAAATAACTTTTATATGAAGGAAAAACGACTGTATTAGAAACAGTTTTGGTTTTTATAGAAAGAATTTTAAAGGTAGCATGTTCAGATTAACTTAATATAGTGACAGAAATTAATTTTGATGAGGCATTAGAGGAAGCTAGGTAAGATTATGTAATAATATAGAAAATAAGATGAGGAGATAAAATAAGATAGAAATGTAATAAATAAATATGGTTTATTTGGTATTCCAGTTTCAGTAAAGGAAACATTCATATAGAAAAACTTTGATTCAACATTTGGATTAGGAATAAATTGTTTTAAGCCAGCTTAGGAAGATGGAATATAAGTTGCATAAATAAGATAAGCAAGAGGTATAATAATAGCTAGAACAAATGTTCCATAAGTAGCGATGACATTTGAATCAGTAAATCATGTATATGGTAGAACATAAAATCCATGGAATAAAAATAGAGCTGTAGGAGGATCTTCTGGAGGAGAAGGTGCATTAGCAGCAGCAAGAGGAAGTGTTTTAGGAATAGGATCAGATATAGGAGGTAGTATACGTATACCAGCTGCATTTTGTGGTGTATATGGATTTAAACCTTATAGTGGAAGGATTCCAGATTATGGTGAAGCAAAGATTTCAATAGCTATTGAAGGTTTTATGTAACTTAAAGTATCTAGAGGACCTATAGCTAGGTGTGTTGATGATTTAATTGTTTTAACAAAAATTTTATTCGATAAAGAAATTTACTCTCAAATTCCTTAATAAATAAAAGATCCTTATTTTGAACCTTTATAATTAAGTGAATTTCCTAAAAAATAAAAATTAAGAGTTGGATATTTTGATGTTTTTAATGGATTAGTAACTCCTAAATGTATGAGTAGAGCAGTACGAGAAACTTGTGAAATATTATAAAATTTGGGACATGAAATAGTTGAATTTAAAGTAGATAAAAAAATATAAAGTATAATTGCTAATTGTTTTTTAAAAATTGTTGTTGCTGATGGTGGAATGAAATCTTATATTGAAGCTTTAAATGGTTAGAAATTTATTGAAGAATATGATTTATTAGTTTAAGATGCAAATACACCTTTAGGAATTAAAAGATTTATTTTATCTCCCTTATTTAAGTTGTTAAGATAACATACACTTTTAGAATATAATGAAAATTCAAAAGTAGATGTATATTAATATTTGGTTGATTCTGGTGTTAGAAAATAAACTAATTTATAATTTTGTTAAGCTGTTGTTGATCAAGGTATAGATGTAATAATCTCTCCTGCTTTTGGATTACCTGCAGTTAAACATGGTGGTTCTAAAGAATTAGCATTTGCTGCGTATATTTTATTTTTTATTTTAGATTGTATACTTGGATGTGGAATGTGGTAGATTTCCCTGCAGGAAGTCTTCCAATCACAACTGTTTAAAATGATGAAGATTTGGAAATTCCAGGAAAATAAAATTCATGGGATCTTGTTTATCATTTTATGAAAAAAGATTTATAAGGAGCAATAGGTCTTCCAATTAATGTCTAAGTTGCAGCTTTACCTAATTAAGATGAAATGGTTTTAAGAGTTATGAAAGAAATTGAAGCTGCTGTTAAATTCAATTTGAAACATCCATATCCAGATTTAAATTGAAATAAATGAGAAATTTTTAAATAAATTATTTTTTATACAAAATATCAAGATATCTGTTAATAATTTATTGTTTTTTTTCTATTCCTATTATTACTTTTTTAAATACGAATAAAAATATTTATTTTTTTGTTTAAATCTTTATTATTATTAAAATAATTATCTCATATTATCTCATATTATTTCATTAAATTCATTTTTATTTTATAATTTATTATTTTCAACTGGAGATATAACTTTAAAATTAACTGTTGAATCTTCAACTCTTATTATGATAATAAATATTAATACTATAAGTCATTAAAATGTATAATGTAAGAATGATCAACAGCTGAATGAATCCAAAACGAATTAAGAATAAATGCATCAACAATTTCTGGCTTTTAAATATTTTGATAATTAATAAGAGATATCTTGGAATTATCACCAATTTATCTAATTTAAAGAACATAAGTAGACCCAAAATTAAATTAATATATATCCATAAAAATTGCAGGTTCTTATTCTACATACTCATCTAAGACCTAAGGATGAATAAAATTAATTTTTTACTAAAATTAATTTAGATTCAGGTCCAGGTAACCAATTTTATCCATCATAATAATTTCTTAAATCAAAAGTAAATATACTAGGTCTTGTTGTTTCATCATTACAATTTGTCCAAATAGCAACTTAATGAGGGTTAATCCAGTTAGTTACATTCATAATTGTATATGAACTTTAATATTTAGTAGGAACTATATAGAATGCTTTTTCCAATAAATGAGGTTTAATTAATAGAATTTCAGATTAATTTTATTCATTATCTTACCCATAGACAGCTATAGTTTCTTTGTCTATTTACCAATAAAATAGTTCAATCTAAGCATTACTGTTAGAATAATCATATTTAATCACTATTTCTAAGTTAAACAATGTTTCAGGAGTATAATAAAGAGGCAAAATTCTTATGGTAAAATGACAAACATAGTTATCTGAATAATATTTTTCTAAATCTTGGGAAATTAAATATTTGATTGATTTCTCTTCACAATCAAGAAAGAATAGACGATATTCTAATATTTAATTTATATATATTTACTGTCAACTATAATTTCTCTGCTTTATTTATCACTCTTAATATTGACTTTTTCACTAGATTAAAAAACGAAATTTGGATTAATTTTATTTGTGTTCAAATCTAATAATTTGATTTTTAGATCTGATGGATCATGAAATATCACCACTCTAGTAGTTTAGAATTAAAAAAAACTTTGTATATATTTCTAGAAAAAATCGTATTTTCTCTGGGAGTTTTCCAGTTAGAGTAATTTTTTATTGTTGAATATCATACAATTCATAAAATCCTCCTTCATAATATATTAATGCTAAATAATTTTTTAAGGGCACAATTCTTTCTAACAGTTTGATTTATACATTTGTTTTTACTATGATATCTTCTTATAGCAATATTTTAGTCATATTTTGTGCCTTTAAATCTTCTTGAATCATTTGGAAACTTTATTTTAAAATATTAATGTTTTGATTGAAACAAATTTTCAAATCTAAAGTTACGTAACAAATATAATTCAATCTTTTACTTTATTAAATAAGTATTGAAATTTTAGTATTAGATCTTAATTCTGAGTTTTTGATATCAGTATAAATTTTATATGTTTTAGATTAAAAGTCTTATTTCTATTAAAATTCAACAGAATTGTTTAAATTTAATCGATTTTGATTTTACATAAGAGTTTTCATAGATTATGTTACCTAAACATTCTTGAATTCAGATGCCCTATTTTAAATATTTTTTATTAATAAACAAAAAAGTAGTTTATTTAATTGATAAATTACAATAATGAATAATTCATAGGAAAATACTCGTTTAAGATTTCTTTAAGAATTACAAACAAACTCTTAATCTCAAGATTGGAATGAAGGATCTGGAGGAAAATATGGAAAGTTAATGTTTTTGATATTTCAAATGATTTTCTATTGTGTTTTAGTGTATAGTTTTGCATTTGGAAATCCTAAAGAGCTTGGATAACCTTTTGATATTGATCGTATCAAATAATAAAAAATATAAAGATTCACCTTGTGGGGCAGGTACAGGAAAAGAAGAATATAAATTTGGATATTTTGTTAATCCTGATAGTGAAGAATTCTTATATAGAACTTTATGTCTCAAGAAATGTCCGAAAGTAATAAATAAAATGGAAGAGAGTGATGGTAATATATTTGAATATAATTTAAGATTCAGTTGAATTAGAATGTCATCCAAATTTATAAATAGCTTCTTGTGATGTTCGAATTCAACCTGGCCATCCTGAATATAATGTTCTTTATTATGATACAATACCTTTTATTAATGTTTGTGCACCAACTGAAAAATAACGATTATAAAATGTTATGAATGCTCTTTAGAAACCCTTAATTGTTAGAGTATTATCAGATTTTTATAATTCAAAATATATTTTCATAGGGTTAGCTTTACTAGCTCTAGGTCTAAAGTAAGATATTTAAAATTATTTCTAGCTTTTTAATCATTTATAAAATAGATGATTATCCAAGACTTGTTATATGGATTATAGCAATTATAGCTATTTTAGGATTTTTTGGAAATGGTTTTTTAGGTATACTCTATGCTAATTAATTATAAAATCATGCTTAAATTGAAAATTAATAATAATTATCAGAAAATTAGGTTATTGGTTTTTTGCATTCCAATTATGTAGATACTAAAACTATCTTTATAATTAGCATTGTTTTTATTCTATTTGGTTTAATTTCTTTTATATTTGCAATTATTTGGAGACAGACTGTAACTACAGTTGGACAAAAAGCAGAAATTATGAATAATTATCTTCTAATTAATTAACCAGAAGAAAAAGAGAATTATTTAGAATCTATATTAAAAATCTTTTTATCTCTAACTGTGTTATTAGCAGTATTTTTTATGTTTTTACTAATGTCTCTATTTTATTTATTTACAACAGGTTAACCGAAAAATGAAGAACATTAATTAGCTTTTGAATCATTTTAAATTAATAATATTGAAATAATATTATTCACAATTATTGCATTAGAATTAATTATTGTGCCATTTCTTGTTATTGGATTTAGCAAATTGTTAGTAATTAATGTTATTATTGAAATCTATAAATAACAAATTTTGGAAGTAGATTTAGAATATTTATAACATTAACGAATAACATTAAAATAATAATCTTTATAGAATTGTATTGGTAAAACGATTAGGTATCATTTTGGAGAATTATTGTGGGGAATGTTTAGATTATATTTTGCCTTTTGCTCTAAACCTATATTTTTAAATGGATTTAGATCGTTTATATAAGTATGTTTAACATAAGAAGACTTTTAACATTCAGCATAAAATTAATTGAATTACGACTAATAATTATAAAATATAAATAGAAAACATTATTAAGGATTAGATTATTAATTAATAGTAAGTTTTGGAGTTTCTAATACTTGTGTTTTAATTTATATGTTATTATTACTTTATTCACCTATTAGTATAGCTATTCACTCTCCTCCAAATTTAATTTTGGCAATATATATCTTCACATTTATGGTAAAATACATATTTATCTTATAGATTTCCTATTTATTTTCTTCACTTTATGGAATGGGTATGGATACACTTACATTTTTACTTTATAAAGATTTAAATGAAGATCCTAATCTAAGATATATTGGAGCCAGTGTTTAGGCTTAATTTCGATTGATTGCACTTCCTTAATTTTCTATGCCTGTTTAAGATTAAGAAACTTTTTTAAATAATCAATATGATGATTTTAAGGGATTTTAAAATTGATGAAATTGATAAAACCTCATAATTTAATATAATAAATATAAAGTGATATAAAATATATTATATTTTAATAAAGATGATTACTAAATATATATATCTCATAAAGATAAATCAAATTATGCATTAGCAACAATAAGAGCTTTTACATTAGCTAAAAATTTCTTAACTGAATTAGTCCATTCTTACCATTTTTAAGTTGCAGATTATTTTAAACTTAGTAATTTACCATCTACATAAATGCCATTCATACTAAAAGGTAGAGTTAGATTAATTTTTCTTTTTTTCAATATGTCTCCTTCTTATAAAAATTTACAAAAAGATTAAAATTCCAAATACAACTATTAAAAAGCATCGTTAAATTCTTCTTCATCTTTTTGTGATGCTTTAGTATTCAAATATAGATTTAAAGTTTTTATGGACATAGCATTTTAATATTCTTCTTTAATTTTAATTTTTGTGAACGATCCATTTAATTCTACAGAATCTATTCTATAAATATAATTTTATAATTCATACTTTTAACATTAATACTTAAATTTCTTCATCAAATAAACTAATAATAATGTTAAATGACCAACTCCAGCAGATATATCATCCCAATCTACAGGCTATTCACCTTTTTTACCAATTTGTAATCCATTTATAGTTGCGACTTCATCTTAAACTGAAATCTTAAATAAATCATTTAAAACATCAAGCTAATTATATTTAATATATTTATATACTTTACTTAGACGATCTATTTCATTATTTAATTAGGATAATTTATTATCAGCAATTTAATTAGATTCAAATAAAGAGTACAATTTTGTTGTGAATTTATTTATGTGTTCCCATAAATTATCTTCATTATGTTCTTGCTCAAGAATCTAATTTTTTAATTTTATCAATTCATTTTTTTGTTTCTATTCATCTTATTCTAATTATTAAATTTCTTTATCTAAGTTTTTTTTCTACATTCATTAACTTATTAAATTACATCTAATTCTATTTTATCATTTTTCCTCTCAATTTAATTGGTTTCCATTTTATTTATTTCATCTCTAACTTAATTTAATTAGTTCTATAATTCATTGATTTCATTTTCTAATTATTTTACTTCATCCTCCTCTTTTTTCATTTATTATTATAGACATTTCTCACATAATAATTCTATTTAAATTAAATTTTTTACACCTTTTTTGTTTGTCAATGTTTTACAATCAGAACATTACTCAAATTCTTCCATTATATTTTTATATTAATAAATATTTAAAAAATAGAAATCAACATAGACTTTTACTCAACATTGATACATAAATGAAATTATTATTATCTTTTTCAAAGAGATTTAAGTAAGTAATTAAATGAAGATATCAATTTTTGTTATATCTATTATCATAATAAGTGGAACTGAATGTATATCAAAACGATAATCTTGTTAAAACCTTTTAACTAAAAAGTAATGTGAAAATACTGATAATCCTTATTCAAAATGCTAATGGTATGAATCATGTTAAAACTCTTAATATTAATCTTGTTACTAATATATAAATTAAATGGAGTGTTAAAAATCTCCTAAATATAATTATGTATGTTATTGGCAAAATGGAGCATGCTTAAAAAAAATATAGTATTAAAAATAATATTGTAAAAAGAATAGATGGAGGCAAAATATGTGAAGATATCGATAATTATTCTAATTGTAGTTTTTAAAGAGGAAGAACATTATTATGTGCATGGAGACATGGTCGTTGTTAAACTATATAGAAATGTTCTTAAATTACAGACTTTCTATAATGTAGAAATTCTTATACAAGAGATAGGTATTCAAAATATGATTATATAAAGATGCTAATTTGTGATTAATAATGTAGCTTCTAATTAAGAGAAAGAGTTTTTGTATATTACAGACTTTTTTAATTTTAACACTTGTAGAAATTAAGATTGTTTATTTAATACAATTTAAGGTTGTCCTACATTTATAAATGGCAGAAGATGTTTTTTATAAGCAGGAAAATGCACTTAATGTTCTTATTAAACTAATCCAATGGATTGTATAGCCACAAAAAAATGTACTTGGTAAAATTAGGAGTGTTAGAATATTATGTAAATTCATTTTCTTATTATTTTAGATGTAGTTAAATTCAAAGTAAAAGATTGTGTAATGAATTTCATTACTGTCGATATGACTATACTACAGAACTATGTTAAATCAATAACCAAAACTATTAGAATCATTGTTATAATTATGATATTAGTTCTGATCCCATTTTAACTAAATAGGATAGTTTTTTTGGTTTATGAAATCTAATATTTATATTATCTGTAATATCATTAGAACTACTATAAAACTTATTATTTATTTAAAGTAGGGAAGACTATTGAATCAGATGTGTTTTAAACAGTATTTTATCTAGTAGGAGTTAAAGCTTAACGATACGTTATTATTTATTGATTCTATTACTAAGGTTACAAATTTTATAATGATTTTTATTTATAATATTCGCATTCCTAATTCTTTTTTTCTAAAATTTATGTTAAAGTTTAAAGCTGATTAGCAAGTTCAATTAATTAATGCTAATTATTAATTGGTTATTATTGCTATAATTAATTAGATAATTATTATATTTAAATCTGATACTGCTAGATTTACTAATTTAATGACTAAATCTGTTATGATAATAAATTAAACTAATTAAAAAAAAGAGTTTACTTAATTAATGTAAGAGTTTAAGTCTTTTTGCAATTATTAATTTTAATTTCTTAGTTTTGAGTCTTCTTTACTTTTTTCATCTAAGATCTTTCTAATAGCAAATAATTCATTTTCATATGATTATTTTTGATTATTTAATTATGTTTCTAGATTACATATACGTTCTATATGATGTTACTCCTTAATAGATAATTCTGTTTCTCTTTATTTTTCTAATTATCTATACTTTTATTCCCAGACATTCTCATTACTTTAATTAGGAGTATAATAATTATTTTATTATAGAGTAAGTGTAAGTATTTGTTATCTTAAATCCTAAACCAATTATTATAAATAAATGTTATCTTATATATCATCTATATTATTATTAGTAACACTTCTATAACTATATTCACGATTATTTTTGGGAGTATGAGAATTGTAAGATTAATGTTTTTAACTCTGAATTCTGGAAGAGTATTTAATTTCTTCAATTTCTTATTCATACAATAGTTTCTGTTATTTGATTTGAGTTTTTAATTTATCAATTTCTTCTTGTTATTGATTGTTAACTTTATATAAGTTTTGTTCCTGTTCTTACATTCTTTTTTGAATTTATGAAATTGTATTCCATAAATCTTATTTATTATCATTGTTTTATGTTTATTTACAATCTCTTATACTTGGTTTGATATCTAATATTTATTCTAGTTATTCTCTTTATTATTCAGATGAACTTTATAAGACATCTTCTGTTAAGGTTTCATTATTTTATAATTAAGTGATTGGACTTTAATATAATTTAGGACCTTTGTATGTTTATTGAGAAGGTGGTGTAATTTTATACATAAAGAAATTACTAATTATAATTTATATATCAAACAACCTCATAAGCCATTCCCATTCTTCTTAATTTCAATCTCTAAAATTGCAAACCTGATTCCTCTTCTTTCTTTAAAACCCATTAAAACATTCTAAACATTATATAGAAAATTGCTGCAATTAATGAAGCAAAATAAAGCTATTCTCTTGAAACTTCTAAATATACTCCTTTTCTATGATATGCTTCAACTTTTTCTTAATATTCTCTCATTTATCTATCAGAAATTGGTATCAATGGAGTATGTCTAAATTCTTCTACAGGTCTCAATTTCAAAAATCTATGAGCATGTTCATTTTCTATTGTACCAGGTATTGATATATTTAATTATCTATTTTCTCTTATTTCTTCCATATATTTATTATCATTCAGTAAAGCATATGGAATAGCATCTTCTTTTAATGTTTCTTTCATTTCATTTCTTACTTCATAAAAGGGTCTAACTGAATTTCCATATAAACCCTCTTTAAATTGTTAAATTGCACCTTCATATTCTTAATAAGAAGTATGTTCATTTAATTTTAGAATTTCAAACATCTTCATTGTTACTGTCTTTGGAGGTCTGCAAATTAATATTGAAACAAATTTATTACTCTACTTTCTCTACTGTTAAATCCAAACCAACATTTTTTATTGGTAAACCAAATTTTTATGGTAAATCTTATCTAGTAAGTATTTTTGGTTCTTCTTTTGGACTTATCTCTTATTAAGCCTTTTTTTATATGATATCCAATAATTCATTGATATTAGATTTCTCAAACAATTTATCTATTGTAACTTCATTATTCACATTCTATTTCACATTATTTATTGTTTATTCTTCATCTCTAAAAAGAATTTTTTATATTTCCTCTTCAGATAATTTAGTTGAATCCTTATAAATTCTTTATTTATAATCATCTAATACTTCTGAGTTGCGAATCTCCATAATCTTCTATTTGTAAATAAAAGCATAATTAAATTATTAATAGAGATGAATTAGATACTCATTACAATTTTTATACATAATATAGATACAATCCAAAATTAATCATAAACTATTTAATTATTAATGCAATTAATGCATTTCGCACAATTTCTTAAATCCCTTTAAATTAATCTCTGTATATTCATCTTCATCAATCTAATTTAATACTACTTCTATTGCTTTCAAACTCTCAAAATCTAACTCATCCAAACTAATGTTTTCCTTACTAATATATCCATCTTAATCACTATCCAATTAATTAAAAATCCTCTGTATATTCATATCAAATAAAGACTATTAACTTTATTAGGATTAAGTTCTTGTTTCACATTAACTAAATGAATTTTTACTCTATAATCCTGACTATATTCTCTATAAATCCATTGCAATCTCTATATCTTCATACTCTTTCTTCTCACTAATTTTCTTATATGTTGCATCCTTATTTATATTTGGTTTAAAAGTTACTTAATTTTAAACTTAAATCTAATACTCTTGTCTAATAAATATTTTCTTTACTTTACTTTTTTTTCTCTATTCTTTTCTATTTTTCTTCATGTTCTTTAACTAATTTTTCTACTAATTTCTTTTATTATATTGCAGTTGTATGTTTATTTGAATTATTTTAAGAATGTGGATGAAATGGATGCATTTTAGAAAATTCTCTATTTTAAAATTCTTCTTTCTTTTTCATATCTTCTTTAGCTTAAAAATACAATTTATCATATATAGGTGTATTGGATCTATTTTGAGAATGATTTCTACTTGTCTCTGTAATTTTAGGTTAAAAAGGAGATAATTTTCTTTCTTATTCTTAAATTTACATTCGTAATTTTTCTTTTTTTGAATTCAATTCTAAACCCTTTTAATATAATTAACTTCCAATGTTATTAATAGAACAATCAGGTTAACTTAATTTTTTTAATTCTGCCATTTATCTTGATCTAGGAGAGATTAAAGGTTAGAATGTGATTTGTTTTTATTCTAACAATTATTTTTAAAGTTTATATTATTCAGCTTTTTGTATTTTATTTTTTTGTTTATCCAAACCATCTCGATAAAGTCTTTCATTAGTTGAAACTTTTTTATTATCGTTGAAAGCTTATCATAAATTTAAAATTTTATACATCTAGCTGAAGTAGGAACATTCCATAAAACTGTATTTTAAGGTACAGTTTTTTATTATTTAAGATCTGATTTTTTATTTATGATTTATTACCATTTTTCATAACTTTTTTAAGCTGAATTTTAATTCTCATCAACACTACTAGTTTAGGTTGTAATTGCACACTCACTCTATTAACTATGACTTGGATGAAGCATTTAATGACAAATGTTATTATAACCAAAGCTTTCTCCAAATCTTGGAGACGATTCTCTTTCTAATTATTGATTAATTTGATCAACTAAATATAAAACACAATCTTATCCCAAATAATGCCTTTAACAAAATAATCTTACAACATGCTCCACATTCTCACCTTCATAAACTTTAATTTCTTCATCTCTATCATTCATTTATAAACTAACAATAGCAATTGGTTGAAGTTCTGTTTTAATTTAATACATAATTATTAATATGTTAATATAATTAGTTTAATTTAAGTTTTTATTAAATTGATATTTACAAAATCCTTTATCAAAAAGAACTTTAACTAAGTTTTATAAAAAGAGTCATGTAATTATTAAATAAGTCCAATAATAAAAGATTATGAATTCAAAATTTAAATTATGTGAGTATTAAAAATAAATAATCAAGAACATATAATGAAATATACTCAACAACATCCTTCGCTATTCTTTTTAGATTTAGTTTACGTGGTCTTAGGTTCTGTTAAAACTACATGTTCTGATTCAACTTAAATAACTTTTTTAACGCTTTTAGAACCAATAGTGTTAAAAATATCTTAATGTATATTTGAAAATACTTGCTACAATCTTATTGAATGCTACATCTATGTTAGTTCCATCCAATGCTGAAGTTTCAATAAATCCTATTTATTATTATTCACAATAGTTTGATGCTTCATCAGTTCGTACAATCTAAATAACATACAAATGTACTCTTTAATCAACTGCATCTATTTTATTTCCAATCATTATAATCACTATGTTTCCATCTGCATGATCCTTTAACTCTGTTAACCATTTTTCTGTGTTTTTAAATGTTGCTTCTCTTGTTACATCATAACATATAAATGCTCCGACAGCTCCTCTATAATATGCATGTGTAATGGCTCTATATCTATAATAATATTATTTTATATTATTTCATACCTCTCTTATCCTGCAGTATCCCAAATCTAACATTTTACAGCTTTTCCTGATGACTGAATTGTCTTTGTTGCGAATTCAACTCCAATCGTTGGTTTCGATTCTAGTTGGAATTCATTATTTATAAATCTCTTTAGAATATTTGTTTTCCCTACTCCAGAATCACCTATAAGTATTAATCATTTTAATTACCTATCAAAACTATTTTAAATAAGTAATCATAATCTTCATCATTACTTCTTGACATTAATAATTTAATTTATAATAATTCATATCTAACAATCATAAACAAATCCATCATATATCTATTCAAATTTTGACTCATTCTCCCTCATTTCTCTAATCACCAATAAATTGTTCTTACAGTAATTTTTCATTTTTACTAGATCATTTGTATCATTATTAAGAAGATGTATTTTGAATAATTATTTATTTTCTCTTTTTTTAAATTATTGCCATTAAATATTCAATCCCACAAACTGAATCTATTTATTTACATATATATCTGACATTCCTATAACTAATAGTATGATATCACAACACTTTTACTTTATTGATGTAATATCACTTAATCGTAGATATTTTATTAAGATTATGAATTTAAAACTCAAAATATTATTAAGGAATAGTTTATTTTGATTGATAATTAAATTTTTTGATATTTATAATGAAAATAAAAGGTTTAGAGTTATTTTTATAAAAATAGTAATCTTAAAATGATTTTAATAGATTTTTTTAGGTTAATCTAATTTTTTATTAAAATAACTGCTAAATATTTTCATTAATAATAAGAATCTTTAATTTAACCTATTAAAGATTAATAAGAAAAAGATGATAAATTTCATTTTCTAATTATTAATTAATTAATAATTAAAATAATTAAAATAATTCAAATTTTATCTTATGATCCTAAAATTTTTAACAATTGATAATGACTAATTAAAGCATCTAAAAATGATGGGAACTCAAAATATCTTATAAATAAATAAATTTGATACTTGATATTGGCTTATTAAGCTTTTTATTAAATAGTTTTCTTAATTTCTTTAAGTCGAGTATGTGCAAACTATGGAAATAGATGATGCTCAATCTAATAGATAAAAATTAAATATTATACTTAATAATTAAGTCCACCAGATAAATGAGTCCAAATAAAAGAACCAAGAGCAAAATTAGAAGAATTTTAGATTTACAATTTACCCCAATTAGTTTAATTGATATTTTAGTTATCAACAACGCCAGCTTCAAGAGTCCAATGATTGACAGAAAAGTACAAAGCATAATTATAACTGTGAACTGCATTATAGATAAACCACATTCCAAATGCAACTTTGTAGGAGAATTTGATAGAAGGATAAATTAAAGTTAATGAAATCCATAAGATTTTAACAATAATTTATAATAGTACTTATAATTTGGATACATAACCTCTTCTGCAAGGGAAATTACTAAACCATTGCATTTCATCAAAAGTTCCAAATACATCAGTAAAATTAACAAATGTATATATAATCCATATATACAAATGTTAATATTTATGATACCAATATCTTTATTAAAGTGGATGCAATCTGATATAAGGAAAGGTAGTATCAAAAGCTCTATCTAATTCTAAATGATTAACACAACTATGATGTCCAAAATTATGAGATCTTCTATAAACAACACTAGTAGAGAAGGTAAGATCTAAAACATAACCAGCTAAAAATGATAATGTTTTATTTGATGAAAAAGCATAATGATTTCCATCATGCATAATATTTACATCAGCCTAAAATAAATTGACTAAAATACTTATGCAGCAAAGAATCCTAATAAAATTGCAGACAATAATGTACAATAATTGATATAATAATATAAACTTGCTAGATATCCTATTATACATAAGAATCCTTTAATAAAAAGTTTCCAATCATTTTACCATTTATTTCTAGGAATCAATTCTTCCACTTCTTCCTTTATACTTGAATAAAAATCATCATCATATGAATAATATTATTAGTAATCTCTAACTTTACCTATTAAATATTATTAAGGTGGATCCTATTTTATCAATTTACTAGGATGATAAGAATACCAAAGGGCAGTACAATCTCCTCCAGCTCCATCAAGAATCATATTACCACTAAAACAAATAGATATTTAGTTACCCTGGATGATATTATAAAAATTATGTAACATCATATATTTTATCTTTTATTACTACCCAACAATCATCAGGAGAATCATGTTTTACTATTTCACACCAACTAAACTCTTGAATTTTTTATTTTATTTATCTTTGCTTTTCCTATTATCTTTATGTTATTTATAAGAATCTTAATGATTTCTATTCTCTTATGCTTAGAATTTCACATACTATCACAAAACAGAAACTAATAGAAAATATCCGTAATTTCATTGTGTCACTTGGTAATGCAACTTTATCATAAGCAATTATTGACACAGGCAATAAAAACATCATTTGAGATAAAATTACAATATTCACAAATTTCCATAAAGCATTTTACCTCCAAATAAAGATTTTTGGTAATAAATCTATAGTATATAACATTATCACTGAAATCTCTAAAGTTTTCATTAATAACTGTCTTAAGTATAGGTTTTCTTCTGATAACATGTCAAAGGTTGGAAATGGCCATAAAGAAGCTCCTATTGCAAATATTATTTTTAATATTGGCCATGCCGGTATTTTAATCTCAATCCATGGCACTAACAACAGAATCATATGAAATATTAACAGCATTATGAAAAACCCTCTAAACACCCGATGACTATGCACCATCAGAAATAGTTAAAAAGAGTTGCTGTACCTTTTAGTGAGGTTTAGAGTCGATATTTTTAAATCGCCCATTTTAATAAGTAAATTATTAAAAATCTACACATTTTTGGCATTGAAATGTTCAAAATTTTATATCACAATATTTATTTATCATATATAATACCTTACTTCTTTATCAGTTTTATAAAATACTGAATATATAAAAATAATACATATTTTACATTTGTATTTTATATAAATATTAATATTACTATAATTCAATAATTCATTCAGGTTTAACTTTAAATTTTTAGTTTATTTACTCGTGCAATACTTTTTCTGCAATTTTACTCTATTCATCTTACCAATGACCAACAACTGCAATTAATGGGAAAAAAGCAACTAAACTAACATTATAAAGAATATGTTTTGTAAATTTCTTTTTTGAAAATGCTCAATTATATATAAATATATACCTTTTGCACAAAAAGCAACTGTAAATGTCAAAGCTAAAGCATTATTTAGCATTCTTAACTATCCATATGTACGCAATTCTGGAAGAGTTTCTGAATAACTTTTATGTTCATTCAAATATTCATGTCGAGCCTTCATAAATATAATTTAATTAATTTACAATGAATTAATAAATAGATTAAATAAATTTTAATAGTATAATTCTAATTAAATAACAAGTGCTCGATTATTCTTAGGTTCATGTACAACAGAAAAATAAAAATTA